TTTCCTACCTGTGATAGCAGTTACTTTTGATACGATTAGACTTCGATTTGGATTTAAGGTTTTTTTGGGGATTCAGATCCTGCTTAAAGCCAGTGTCAGCTAAAAGCACACAGAGAGTGTTCAATTTAGAGTAGTGCCTGGTATGGGTGTTAGCTGTAATGTACAATAAATTGATTTGCTTTATAGCCTTAAAAGTTTAAGCCAGGCCATGCTTTTAAAAAATGAGAGATCAGTGATAGAAGTTCAATGAACTAGTTTTAAAAATAACAAAATTGTATGCTAGGAACTGAAGGACTTCGGCTTAGTCATTTGGTTCTAAAATTATGTAGCATTTCATAGGAAATACCCAAGTGGCTTTTCCAAATTGTTGTAACAAACAATCTATAGTAAAATTTTATTTACTAGAATTATTGGAAAAGGAGTTTTCTCATTAGCCAAGTTGACCAGAAAACCCTTTTGATTCAATCCGTTTTGATAAAAATATTTCTAAAAAGTATCACTTTACTTTTTGACATTTTGAGTATACTCAAGTGAAAATTTTTGAATAAATTCCTGATGTTGGTAGTTATGGAGGACAGTATACAAAAAGTTTTACTTCTTTGAATTCCAGTAAATCAAGACATTATCGCCCTTATGATTTGAGTTTTGGGATATCTGATACCTGAGTCTTGCTGGAAACTTTTAGGAAAATATCTTAATATTCAGAAACTTAAAGTTGATGGAGGCTTGGATTAATTACAGTGCTTCGCTAGCAAATGACCCAATAAAGCTCCCTTCCTCCTACAACCCTCCCTGCAAAAGAAAAAAACCAAACACAAATTCTGGTCATCTTAACAAAAGAAACCAGAAAAGTCTAGATAAAAACAAAACAAAACAAAAAAACTCAGCTGATACAATATAAGAACAGCTGATGATTAATTAATATTTTTCCATACTCTTTAAAATTCTGCTCAAATTCTAGGGGGTTTAATAAGTTTTGACAGTTGATTAACACCTTGACACTTTGCCATATCTCTAGAGTTTCTAAGGAGTGCTCTACTTTATAAAAACAGCCGGTAAGATGAGATCTGTTTCCTTGACTTCGTGTCAATATTCAACCAACTATTTTCTGGAAGGGTGTGTGTGTATGTATGGTAACGCGAATACAAAAATGAGTAATATGTGGTTAGTCCAGCCTCATTTGTATCTTGCACTTACGAAGTTAAAAAAAGTCACAGGTAGAGCTTCTCTAAGCCAAACTTCTGGCTTGCAAAAATGCTCGCTTGTTGATACAGCATCATCCTGGGACTAGAGTTATTTCATTATTATTGAGTTTTAGAATTGAGCAGTGGTGGGGGTACTTAGAGATCAGTTGGCCTTCACAGAGTTGTAAAGATTTAATGAAAAAGAAAAACAACCCCACACAAACAGTAAACACTCTGGCAAATAGTAAAGCTGAATTTCGTATACAATTGATGAAAACAGACTCAGCATAATGGCTTCCCTAGTGCCAAACTTCTAATTAGTGGTCAAGTGTGGCTTAGATTTCAGGTCTCATTATTCCCAGCTCATGTTCATTCATATGTTCTGCCTTAGAGAAAGTGCCATAATATAAAAGGGAGGATAAATCAATTTATCAGCAATTATTTGCGCACTCACTGGGTGCCTGGCACTGTACTGGACTCTAGTGAGTACAAAGGAATACTCCTATAGGTGAGAGGGGCTGGGGAAGGGAACAGATTGGAGCAAGGACATCAGCCTATCTGGAACAGAGGGCTATTAAGTTAAGGAGGTATCAGATAAGTAGGGTGGGGCTAAGTGGAACACTGGGAAACCCAGGCCTGACCTGTGTCATTGTATTCTATTTCCTTTAATAATCTGCCTTATGTGGTACAAGGAATGTAAGTATTGGAATTCACCGTGAGTCAGAATTGGCTGAAGAGCAACAAGTTTTTTGTTTTGGGGGGGTTTTTCGGACAGGTTATTATGACTCTGCTCAAAACCCATCAGTGGCTTCTCACTTCATTAAAATTTGAAGCCCTTATAATAGTTTGGGGTCCTGGTGGTGCAGTGGTTAAGAGCTCAGCTGCTAACCAGAAGGTCGGCAGTTTGAATCCACCAGCCACTCCTTAGAAACCCTATGGGGCAGTTCTTACTCTGTCATGTAGGGTCACTATGAGTTGGATGGCAACAGGTTGTTTTTTGGTTTGTAATAGTTTACAAGGACCTATATAATCTGGCTCCTTACTGCCCCTCCTCTTATCATCTCCCTCTTGCTCACATAGCTGTTCCTCCATCACACCAAGCACACTTGCCTTGGGGACTTTGTTACTCCCTCTGTCTAGAATACTTCTCCCCCAGGTATCTGCGTGGTTCAATCTTTCACTTCTTTTATATCTCTGCTGAGTGTCACCTTATCAGAGAGATCTTCTCTGACCAGCCTGTCATTCTAGCCCTTACCTGACTATATTTTTTCTTTATAGCACTTATCACCACTTGATATATGTTTATTATCTCTTTTCCTTAGAATGTAAGCTTGAGAGCAGGTGTCCTCTAAGGCTTAGAATAATACAGCGTAAATGAATGAATGAATTCTATAACTTCCATGAGCCTCAGTTTGTCCACATGTAATATAGGGATAATCATATTTACCTAAAGGGTTGTAGGGATCAGATTAGGTAATACTTTACAAGTACTTAGCCCAGTATCTGGCACATAGTAAGTGTTTAGTAATGCTCATGTCTGCCCTCTTTTATAAATTATTTATATGACTGGCCAGTTGACAACTTTAGTGGTATCCTAATTCCCATTTGATTTAGGTAAAAAGGGAATTCCACTTGTTAGCAATGAAGAAAAATGGTTATTTATATCATACATAATGCTGCCTTAGTGGAATGCAGTAACTATAACGCTAATGTTCTCCTATGGAACCATTAATCTATAAGTAACTCTCACTTCATGTTGTTGTTGTTAGGTGCTGGCAAGTTGGTTCCAACTCATAGAGACCCTGGGTACAACAGAACGAAACACTGCCCAGTCCTGCGCCATCCTCACAATGGTTGTTATGCTTGAGCCCATTGTTGCAGCCACTGTGTCAGTTCATCTCGTTGAGGGTCTTCCTCTTTTTCACTGACCCTCTGTTTTACTAAGCATGATGTCCTTCTCCAGGGACTGATCCCTCCTGATAACATGTCCAAAGCATGTGACACGTAATCTTGCCATTTCTGCTTAGCAGTAGAGTCATAATAATCAATTAATTAGAAGATTTTGTTTAATCATTGTTTCTTATCAGACTTAGGGGCTACTAGTTACCAGGTAACTGGTTTTTAATAAACTTTAACTCACCTTTTTACTACTCTTGTTTTGGTGACCAAATTAAGAACAAGAGTATGATTGTGACCCTCAAAACTGTCATAAAGTGAATTTGGAACAATTAATTTTTAAAAATTATTTATTTATTTTTGTTGAAAACATACACAGCAGAACATATACCAATTCAACAATTCCTACAAGTACAATTCAGTTACACTGGTTACATTCTTCTCCTTGTGCAACCATTCTCACCCTCCTTTTCTGGAACAATTAATTTTTTAATTTCAAAGTTCTAATAAGTGAGAGTTTTTTTTCTCATTGGACATGCAAGCGTGTATGTATATTGTCCCTATAACGTACACACATTGATGCATTATACATTGGTTTCCTCATCTTTTTCCCACTAAGGCAGTCATTAAGCAGTCTGGTGTCACAAGTGAAACTTTTACATTAATCCAGAGAGGCTAGGAAAGGCCCTCACAAAGGAGACTAGCTTTTGACTGGAGGAGCCATATACCTACTGTATGGTATTATACCTCTTGATGTTCTAGTGAAACTTGAAGATAAGGGTGTTTCCTCTGGTCAGAATCCTCTCTTAACCTGTCTATACTCCAGCTATGCATAGTAGAAGACAATTCACACTCTTAAAAAGCAAGCAAGCAAGCAAGCAAACAAAAAAATCATGCAACTGATTCCAGTCTTTATAAATGAATGATGAATGAATGACCTCTCTTCCCATCCTCCCCAACAACCAGAAAAAGAAAATAGAAAGCAAGACACAAAAGAATTTAGGGGCCTTATTTCTGTTGCAGAAATCGGTGAGAGACAGGGGTGTTCAGACTTCCAGGCAGACTGGGGGGCATTAGAACTTTTCCTCCTTATTGATAGATGATCAGTTCCTCTGGACCTCTGCTTTCTTGGTCGAGGAGTATGGGTTTAGACAGCCGGGATTCAAACCTGGAAACCCTAGGCTATTGGTGTGACAATTTCTAGTCTCAGTAAAATATCTAGGGAAAGGTGGAAAGGTTGTTGGTTATACCAATAGTGTATATTTGGCCATATCACGGTGTAGACAGCGTAGTTGAAAGAACACAGGCATTGTAATCTGGTGTGCCTGAGATTGAATTTTGACCCTGCTACTTATTAATTATGTATCCTTTTATAAGATACTTAACGTCCCCAAGTATATTTCCTCATTTGCAAAATGAAGTGTATCTACTTCAGACTTTGGTGTGAAAATTAATAAGATAATGTATACAAAGCTCCTAGTGTAGTGCCTGGCACATAGAAGTGCTCAATAAATGGTAACTTATTAATAATAAATATAATTACCTTTCTAAAAATGTCTGTTATAAAAAAATTAAGTGTATTAGTAGATTTAAGTTTTATATTGTTGCTAATCAGTATTTGGTATTAAGGTCCTTTCAAAGGTGATGTAATTTTTAGCCAGTTACTGTGAGAGATCTAGGAAGGTTAGTGAATCTTTGGAGATGATTTTAAAAAAACAAAACACCAACCCCTACTTAGTGACATAGTTACTCTATAGGAGAAAGGCAAACCTTGTAATCAGTTTTAGAAGGTTTTGATCATAGCATGCTTTCTATGAGTTACATGTACTTATTCAGGATGTGGAGATGTTCTGAGAAGTAGGGTGCTCATGATGAATGTACTTTCCTGTAAAAGAAATGTTTTTTTCTCCCTCTCCCCAGCTGCTCAGATAAAGAATTTGATGAGCCAACTAGGAACTAAGCAGGACTCAAGCAAGCTGCAGGAAAATCTGTGAGTAGCTTTCTGACAAGGTTGGGCTTTGTGAGGCCCTTTGAGGACACACTTAACGCCCTTACTGCATGGCAGCCCAGGGTTCAGGTCTCGGTGAAGTCAGAATGAAATGGCAGGGGACGTGAGGTAACAGCTGGATCTAGAAGAGGGGCACCAAAATATATTAATGAGTTGTGATGTCTGTTGACTTTCAGAGTCCTGAACTTTGGTTCTTTCTTCCCTTGGGCAATTTAGCAGAAAAACTTAGGGAAGTTGAGAAAGGAATCCCTACTACACTTAAACTATATTCTGCCTGTGACTCTTCCTAAATGAGCCTCCTTGTTGGCATAGGACTCCTGATGATCTGTAGAGCTGATCTAGACTAGCTGGAAATATGTAATAGTAGAAAAATTTATTCAGAATGGCCCAAGGGGAGCCTGAGGGAAAGAATAGTGGACTGGTGGTAGAGACTCCTGATTCTTTTTATTATATCCTTTTGACTCCATTTCTGCTTTTAGAAGTTCTATTCTTCATCTTTCAAATATACTGAATGATTTTCTTTCTCAGACATTATGAAGTGAGAGAATGAGTGTTATTACTTTGAGCTTTTTCCAGGGAAATGTGAAATATGCCAAATGGAGACTTTTAGTACTGTCTGGGATGTTCAGGCTCCTGGTTACCTCTCCATCAAAATGATGTCCCTTGGTTTTTTACCCTGGAAGCCCCTTTGCAGTAAAAGAAACATTAATAATTTGTCATGTGGTTTCTCTGTCTTCCCTTAAAACCTTTGTTGAAACGGCCAGAGAAGAGAGAAAACCATGAAAGAAAGGAACTCTTTTTATATTTCCACTACTGTCCAATCCCACTTAATACATTACATATTTCTCCCTCTTTAATGTCTTTCCCTCCCTACTTATATATTTTTAAACAGCGTACAGCTTCTTTGTTTTGGAGGGAAGAGCCAGAAAGTCAAGCATAAAGGGCAGGTAGGGAGCCAAGGATAAAGCTGAAAAAAAAAACTAGCTTTAAGCAAGAACATGGGAGTAGACCTTTGAAGGTTGTTCCCTAGGGTGGGAAGCTATGCCTTTAACGCACATTCAGTCCAGCCACCTGTGCCTGGATTCTGTCTCTAGTCCATGGACTACGCCAGACACTAACCACGCAGAACTCCTGGGCAATTCACTGTGGGAGTTTTGTGTTAAAACTATTAGGTTTAGGTGTGGGTGGCAATTACTCTTCGTATATTTCCATCAGAACTGCTGATATGCTTTTCTTTTCTCACCAGAGAGTTAAAATTCCTGATCTGTGCTTCCTTCAGCAAGTTTCGTTGAGGCAGCTTCCTTCTACTCTGGTTCCTTCTACTCTGTAATGTAAAGATGGCTCAAAGTGGGTTTGACTGGGCAGTATTTCTGGAATTTTGTTGTGAACCTAGGCATCGAGGAGCCCATTTTCTTCAAATATCTTTTCATTTCCTGCTTTAAGAGACACTCTGAGAACAAAATGATGCCGACTATAACAGCTCTCAAGAAGTGAGAATATCCTGAAACATGTCTTTTCTTTCTTAGGCAACAGTTACAACACTCTACAAATCAGCTTGCCAAGGAAACAAATGAATTGCTGAAGGAATTAGGGTCCTTGCCCCTTCCCTTATCTACTTCAGAACAGGTTGGTATTTTCCATGTTTTGTTTTGTTTTTTAATAGGAAAGGACTTTGTTTTAATGGAAAGACAGTTTGTGGAACAGAAATAACTTGGCCTTTGGTGCTAGATAGACCTTCTCTGAACCTCAATTTCCTTATCTGTAAAAAGGGGGTTATGTGACTGTTGTGATAATAGAAAGAATGTATATACCATATCTAGCAAAGTGCTTGGCAGTTCGTAGATACTCAATATATGGTGGCTGCTGCTGTTATTAATAATATCGCAATTTTAATATATTACTAAATGGGTTTAATTGAAGAAGAATCTCAGTGTTTGCATCTCTTTGAGGTTTGGCTAGCAGCTTTACATTTGCAGGCTTGGTCTTAGTTTGTAGGCTTGGTCCAGTATCTATAAATTTCAATCAGATGTCTTTCTTTTATACTTTGCAGTAACAGTCAAGTCCTTCAGGAGTCATTCATAGGTCTCAGACTGAAGAAATGCTAAGGGAAAAAAATTTCTCTTTTCAAATCATTTTATTCAGTGGGCATTTAAAGCCTCTAAAAACACAATTTCTACTGGAATTAATTGTTCCCTTAATATACCATGTCTTTTCTTCACATTATTCCTGAAGTCAGCTGTGCCCTCTCCATCATTGTGGCTTGACTTGTTTACCTATCGTTTATGGCCTACCTCAAATCCTCTTTCTTCGAGGGATAAAACCTTCCCATCTACCTTACATTTTACTTTGAGCTTCTATACCATTCATGGGTTGCTTAACTTATACTGCTTTTTATTACTGGACTTTTTTTTTTATGATAATGTTCTGTTTCTCTGATGGTGCTGAAAACGAAGCCTACAATGTCCCTCTCCTGGGTTATTCAAATTGTGGGTTGTGACCTATTGGAACATTTAAAAAAATGAAATAGAGTAGAAATATCAGAGTGTGTAGCATGTAATAAGGGAAAAATGTTGTTACATGAAACTTTCATTTCATAAATATGTGCATGTATGGTCCCAGGTCATAATGTCAAATTCTTACTGTGGGTTTCTGCTAAAAAGCTTGAAATTCACTAGTTTAACCCATACCTGGCAAGCTGCTAAATGAAGCTTCTGTTCAGTCTTTGGAGTTTTGGTGCTCCCTTGCACAAAAGGGAGGAACAAAGAGCTGCTGAATTTTAGGAAGGATGAATAGAACTATGCTTTGTCATTCTGCTACAAAGTAGTTATGGGACAAAGTAATCTTAATGTAATCACCCTTTGGTTATCCACGTGTGGGCTCTTTGTTTTAGTTGTTACTCATGGTGATATTTCAATTATGGGCCATTTCCCCCTTGCCATCCCATCCCATCAGATTGCTCCAAAATTGTCCTTTTCCTCTCCCCAAGTACACTTAGGGAATACACACTTGTAGATAGTTTTAATAGTAATAAGAAAGGAGTCCAAGGGTCTAATGCAGAGTATTGAAAGTACTTAAGAGTTATATAGTAGTTTAAGCAAACTATAAATAGAAAGTTAAATCTGATACAAAAAAATATGCATCTAATGTGTTCCAAAACCAGATAGAAGATGTTTTTGGATTATGTATGCTATTGTTCCCTTCCATTAGCTTGGATCATTAAGAACATGAAATAGATCTGCCAACATAGTGTCTCCTTGACTCTCTGCCTTCTACTGTGAATACCCTTGTCTCTTTCAATTCTTTCCTCCTCTGAATAATCTTAGCCTCATCACCCATCTTTCCCCAACCATCCTATACATGAAACCGTACATCCTATTTTCAGTACATTTCGTATTCAGTACATGCTTATGTATTATCATCACTGATCTTCTAGTAGCCAAATCTAGTGGCCTTTTTTGAATTTTTATTTACTTTTCATCTCTTTCATTTTATCTTCTTGCCCATCCTGTCTCCATGGAAACTTTCTTCCTCTTTCCATGATTTCCTTTCATTCTGTCCCCCAGCTTTGGTGTTCCCATACTGGCCTATTTTTTTCTTAACCTCAGGTTGAGTCTCAGCCTCCTTCCCTGGTTCTGTATCCACCTAGAAGTAGGCATGCCTCAAGCTTCTGCCATTGGTCCTATAATTTTCTCATTCTATAGTTTTCTCTTCAGAAGTCTTACCTGCTTTTATGACCTCCCCTGTCACTTTATGAGCATGACTCCCAAATCTTTTTCCAAACTTAACCTCTAAGTTCCTAAGTACTGGGCCCATATTGCCAGTTCCTGTTCTGACATCTCTTGAATATATTGCCTTCATCTAAAATTTAATGTGTTATCTTATATTGAATTCCTCATGTTTCACCCAAACCCTTTAACTAAGCTGATTGACTATATTTGTCATAAAAAAAAAAGTTTGTGCCTTTTGACCTAATATTCACACTCATACAAATTTATCCTAAGGAGAAAAATTCTGAAGGAAAAAACAATACAACAACTGTATGTACTCTAGAGCCTAATTTTCTGAGTTTAAATTCTACTTCTGTCACTTACTTTTTGATTGTAGGAAAATGACTTAACCTATGTGTGCCTTGGTTTTCTTATCTGTAAAATAGAGACTAACATAGAACTTGCTTTGTAGGTTGTGTAGATTAAATAGGTTATTATATGAAGTGAGTGTAACAGTACTGGCACATGATAAGCACTATGTAAGTATTAGCTGTTACAATGGGGCTCACTTTAGCTTTAGTTATAATAGTTAAAAACCGGGATTACTTAAAAATTTACTGGATTGACTTGATGGAATATTATGTAATAGTTAAGGATCATAATTTTGAAGGTATGGTAACATGGAAAATGTTTGTGATATACTTAAAAGATAGTATTTTTTCATGATGAAATTGGAAAACGATGTCTTTTCCCCCCTTTATTATTGTCATAATATTGTTTATGCAAACATAAAAACCCAAGAAGATAAAAAAGGCTCCTTATGTAAATTTGCTTTTAGTATTACCATCATTCCCCCAGGCTTGAAAGTTGAGTCATTCTTGACTTTATCCCTCTTTCCCCATAGCTAGTCACTAGATCATAATGTTTCTTAAACTCATTTCCTTGTGTTCCCATTACCAATACCATGTCCTCCTAACTTTAAACCTAGACTACTGTAGTAGTCTTTTTGACTTGTTTCTTTTTTCCATCCTATCTTGTACACTGTCACAGATGAATCTTTCTAAGTTACCATTTTGTATCCATCATGTTCTCTGCTCTTAGTTCTTTAGAGGTTGAACCTCAAATTCATTAGCTTGGCATTTAAAACCTGCTGTGGTTAGTTCCTTCCATGCCTTTCCAATGTTTACTTTATTTTTTATTGTGCATTAGGTGAAAGTTTACAGAGCAAATTAGTTTCCCATTTGATAGTTTGTACATAAAGTGTTCCGTAACATTGGTTTCATTCCCCACAGAGTGTTAGCGCTCTCCCCATTTCCGTCCTAGGTTCCCTGTTTCCTTTATCGTCCTGATTTTCTATCCCTCCCTGCCTTCTCATCTTTGCTTTTGGGCAAACGTTGCCCTTTTGATCTTGCGTAATTGATTGTTCTAAGAAGAAAGTTCCTCTCAGATGTTACTGTTTATTTTATGGGCCTGTCTATGGTTTGGCTGAAAGGTGGTCTCCAGGAATGGCTTCAGTTCTAGTTCAGAAGGGTGTCTTAGGGCTATAGTCTTGGGGGTTCCTCCAGTCTCTGTCAGGCCAGTAAGTCTAGTCTTTTTTGTGAATTTGATTTGCCTTTCCAATTTTATCTTTGACTCTCCAATTTTACTCTCATGAATAAACCTTTGAATCTAACCAAACTGTCTCCTTAAAGATACTTTTCAGATTTCTACCACCATACCTTTGCTCACACTCTTCTTTGGCTTGGGTTTACCTTACCCCTTCTCTCTGCTTATTCATGTCTTGCTCTTCTTTCAGTGTCTACCTCCTCTTGATGCCTTTCTTGACCACTTGAGTCCTTACAGATTATTCCTACCTCTGAACTTCTATAGTACTAATTGGGTAAAGCAATAATTTGTAATGATTTTATTACTTGTATGCCTATATCCTTTATCTACACATAGATGGTAAGCTGTTTTAGGTCAGGGTGAGTTTTTACTTCTGTGTTCTCAGCAGAACAAATACTCTCAATTTGTGTTTATTGAGACTTAAAAGCACAAACTTAGTAAGGGTAGCCTGTATATATATGACGTAGCCTGTATATATACAAAGCAGTTTTCAGGTTCTCAAAGACTTTAAACTTCAGCCCTAGTGGTGCAGTGGTTAAAGAACTCACAACCAAAAGGTTGGCAGTTCAAACCCACCAGCTGCTCTGCGGGAGAAAGACCTTGTGATCTGCTTCTGTGAAGATTTCAGCCAGGAAAACCCTATAGGGCAGTTCTGCTCTTCCTTGTAGGGTCACTATGAGTCAGAATTGACTCCACAGCAATGGGTTACACTGAAAAAGAACGTGATTCTATGGTTTTTAAGGAAGCTGTACACTCAGTATAGATGAACACAGTTTCAATATTTTGGTAAAAACTAATCTCTGTTCGGGTCCAACCTGAGTCCAAAAGTATTTATTTTGCTTTTAGAGCTCCGGAAACCCAAAAACCAAACCCACTGTAGTCGAGTTGATTCCGATTACAGTTCCCTCTTTGATTACCTTACAAGGTAAATGATACCAGTTTCCAGGTTTGTCAGAATGAAAGAAGGAAAATGCTGGCTTACTTACAGTATTAACCAGAGATTTGAGCTAACAAAGAGCAAATCTACTGATTTAAGGAAGAATATATTTCATAATGATTTTTTACTTGGAACTCCTTAAGGGGCAGAATTTCATATTTAATGGAATTGAAACTCAGTGATTCTGGGTTAACATAAAATTTCTTGTTTAATTTCCTTAGCGCCAGCAGAAACTTCAGAAGGAACGCCTCATGAATGACTTCTCTGCAGCCTTAAACAATTTCCAGGCTGTGCAGAGAAGGGTATCTGAAAAAGAAAAGGAGAGTATTGCCAGAGCAAGAGCTGGATCTCGCCTTTCTGTAAGTTTAACCTCCCCCCACCCCGCCGCCACCAAAAAAAAGACCTTTGTAATTTCAGGGTGTGCTTTCCCAAATATTTTGTTTTGTTTTGTTTTTCTGTTTGGCTAGTAGCCTTTGTTTATTATCACCCCAAATAATAAACATACATCAGCTGCTGTGAAAATGACAGTTTGATATAATCTGTGTAAAAATATACATGCATATGGTCAAAGACTGGAAAGAAATATGCACAAAGGTTAAAAACTATGGCAAGTAGAATTATACATAGTTTTCTTTCTCATTGTTATGTTGGTCTTACATTAAAAACTTTTTAATCATCAAAAGACTTTACCAAAAAAGTGAAAAGACAAGCTACCAACTGGAAGAATATCTTCAGAAATCATATATCTGACAAGAATCTAATAACCAATATATATATATAAAACTTCAACAGCTTTACAACAAAAAGTCAAATAACCCAACCATAATATGGGCAAAAGACTTGAATAGACATTTCACCAAAGAGAACATTCAAATGGCCACCAAACACATGAAAAAACGCTCAGAGTCATTAGCCATCAGAGAGATGCATATCAAAACCACAGTGAGATACCATTTCTCTCCCACTAGGATGGCTAAGATCAAAACAGAAAATAACAAATGTTGGTGAGGATGTGGGGAAATTGGAACTATTATCCCTTGATTTATTTTACTTGGATCCACAATCAACACCCCTGGAAGCAGCAGTCAAGAAATCAAACAATGTATTACATTGGGCAAATCTACTGCAAAAGACTTCTTTAAAGTGTTAAAAAGCAAAGATGTCACTTTGAGGGCTAAGGTGTGCCTGACCCAAGCCATGGTATTTTCAGTCACCTCATACTCATGTGAAAGCTGAAGTGAACAAGGAAGACTAAAGAAGAATTGATGGATTTGAAGCAGATAATCATACGATGTACTATGCCAGGAATGACAACTTGAAGAGGAATGGCATTGCATCCATCGTCAGAAAGAACATTTCAAGATCTATCCTGAAGCAGAATGCTGTCAGTGATAGGATAATATCCATATGCCTGCAAGGAAGAACAGTTAATATGACTATTATTCAAATTTACGCATCAACCACTAAAGTCAAAGATGAAGAAATTGAAGATTTTTCCCAACTTCTGCAGTCTGAAATTGATCAAACATGCAATCAGGATGCATTGATAATTACTGGTGATTGGAATGGGAAAGTTGGAAACAAAGAAGAAGGATCAGTAGTTGGAAAATACGGCCTTGGTGACAGAAACGATGCTGGAGATCGCATGATAGAATTTTGCAAGACCAATGACTTCTTCATTGCAAATACCTTTTTTCACCAACATAAATGGCAACTATAGACGTGGACCTCGCCAGATGGAATACACAGGAATCAAATCGACTACATCTGTGGAAACAGGCGATGGAAAAGCTCTTAAAAATTATTAAGGACCCACACAAGCTTTTGCTTATATGGATTATATCTGTCAATATTTACTGTATTGGAAATTAAAACTGAGAAAAATGTTAATGTTTATTTATTAATTCACTTAAAAATAACAGTGATAAACCCATGGTATAGTAGCATAAATATAAATAACATTTTAAATAAAAAATAACTTTAAAAAGTTTATTGGGAAGAGTGGCATTGGTTTATATTTTTGTAAATCTTTTTAATGTCTGGCTTAATAGAAGGCAGCTAGATTTTCATATCTGCTTCTGTATTCAGTCTATTGTGGAATGTTGTTTTGGTTGAAGTGTCTGAAGAAAATCTAGCCTCACAGAGATACATAGTTGGACAAAGAGAGTATTTTAGTAATCTTTTCAGATCATTGTCAATATTCTTCTTTAGTACTATGTCAAAACTTGATCAAAATTAATTGCATTATGGAATCTAAAACCATATTAATGAATTTTTCATTCTTTTACATTAAAATCTATTCGTCTGTTTTGTACTTTGATTGGATCTTTTATCCATGCGTGATTTTGTAACATCATGTATATTATCATTTGGAAGGTATTTGTTCTCTGAAAAATATTTGATCTCCCCAAATGTTGATATATTTCATTGTACAATATTTTTAAAAAATCACATTTGGTAGTATTACTATCACTTTCATCAGAAAATTCTTAAATATTGGGAAACGGTCAAGTTCACAGTGGTAGAGACAAGTTTTCCAAAATTTTCTAAATTTCCTGGAAAACTACATTTTTATCATTGGCTATAAACACTATCAGTTGTTTTCCTTTAAGTGACAGACTCACATTGTTTATTTTTAAGAAATTATCTGCCAAACACCCATCTGAATAACCACAGATTGTTAGTCATTCGTATAAGCAGAAATAGTGGTCCTTAAAAAAAAGTGGCTAGTTTAGCTTGCAACTCAATTACACAAGTGCTTTTCCTTGAGACAACCATCATACTTCTGTATGCAGAAAAAGTGCTTTATGTATGCTTCCCATTTCAGCATACAAAATATTAAAAAGACATGTATTGAGAAATTGATGTTTAATTAATTTATATGGCTTCATCCAGGACAGACTGACTTTTTTTTATTTTTGTTTTTACTGTGAATGTGTGGCAATGAAGAATACATTGACAACTAGTACAGTTGCCTTGATTCGTGCTAAGGCACTATTGCTTTTGTACCAGGAGTGCAAATGTCAGCACAGGAGCAATAAATAAATAAAGAACATCTCATTATTATTGTGAATAACAGTCAAACAAATGAAAAGGTGCTCAACTTCTCTGTAATTATGGAATTGCAAATTAAGATCGCAGTGCGGTACAATTTCATATCCACAAGACTGGCAAAAATTTAAAACCATGAACACAAAAGGTGGTGGTTGTGGATAGGCTGCAACAGGAACTCTTCTATCTGGTCAGTGGTAATATAAATTGGCACAACCAGTTTGGAATACATCTTTGTTGTATCTCTAGAACACATGTATACCTTATGACCGAGCAGCTCTGCCCTAGCGAAACTTGTAAATATGTATACCAAGATATATGTACACCAGCAGCAATATTGATAGTAGTCAAAAATTGGAAACATACAAATGTCCATCAACAGTAGAATGGATAAAAACACTGTGGGATATTCATACACTATAATATTATATAGCAAAGAAAATGAACAAACCACAGTTAGTTATATTCAGTGTCACGGATGAATCTGGCGTAATTTGGAGTGATAAAAATAAAGCACAAAATAAATACAGACAGTATGATTCCATTTATGTAAAGCTCAAAAGCACACAAAACTATATTGAATAAGGATGCATGTCACTATTTTAAAAAAGCAACGAAATGATAATCACAAAGTCAGGATACTTGTTACTTTAAGTGCAAGGGATACAGTTGTGATTGGAGAAGGACACATGAGTGGGCTTCTGAGACACTCACAGCATTCTCTTTCTTAATCGAGGGGAAATGTAAAAGTCAAAATTAAAAAATAAACAGGGTTTCCTCTGGGTGGGTAGAATTTTGAAATGTTTCATTTTCTTCATTTTACTTGCCCCTTTAATTATTGCTATTATAAAAAGGGGAAGTTGTTTTTTTTTCCTTAATGAAAAGATTGGTCTTTTAAAAGCTTTTTCTGTTTTAAATTTTGCTTTTAAGTTAAAAAAGTAATGCATGCAGTAGAATAATTATTGAAGTGAGTTTGCCACTTTAGTACCTAATATTGCTATAAATATCAATTTTTAAAAATCTTTGCATAATCTGAAAATTTGTTTCCTTGCAGGTTTTCAGCCCTTTCCCTTAATCTCCCTTCCCCCAAATTTTTAAAGAGGTTATTATTATTTTCAACCCTCCATCCTACCTATGTTCTCTCCATTTGTTCAGAGCGGTTTCTGTTCTGGTCCCAAACCGGAATGCAGATTTGCCTTTCAACCACTCTAGACCCATTTTCTAGTAGACAGAGATTGCTAGAGCCCTATGTCACTTTACAGACCTGTCAGAGCCAAGGAATGTCATTTCTCTATACCATAGTTAAGGGCAAATCGTTTTTGATGTCTGTCTATGATATGTTTCTGGGTAACGGCAGCAATAATACCATCTGTTTTATAGGCAGAGGAGAGGCAAAGAGAGGAACAGCTCGTCTCATTTGACAGGTAAAGGAATTACTCATACAACTTTGCTGGATAGTTGAGATGGGATTTTATATCTTTATGCTTGTTTTTAGATTTTAAAAATCAAAGGAAAAAAAACGACAAAATAAAGGGGGACTTGGGATGGGGGATTTTATAATCCTCAAAATAAAAAGTAAAAACCATGAGCTTTTCCAAGATCTTTGCATTATGGAAGGAGTAATTTGAAGGTGAATAAAAAATTCCAAGAAGCCTCTAATGTTCATGTGTTAGGAAGAGAGCTTGGCTCACTAGGATTAAGTAAAAACGCACAACTATAGGTTAAGAGGTCTAATCATTTTACCTCTAATTCAGACTTAAGTTCTTCAAAGTTCTTGGACCTCTGGTCACTCATCTCTAAAATGGGGACAACTCATCCTTCTAAGAGTGTTAAGAGAAAAAAGCAAACAGTTTGTATCTGAACGATGTCTACTTTCTTAACTTCTCCAAGCTGAATTAACTAATCCCATAGAAATCTATTCTGGTATTAGTTCGGAACAGAAAAAGGTTCTATCATAGATATGTCTCTGTCCCCCCTACAGTAAACACTGTGAGCACCTCAAAGGCCCAGGGTGCTCTGTCTTATTCAGTTTTATACCTCTAGCACATGGAGGACATTCTTTAAATACTATGAGATAAGCATGATTTATACATACTGTTGGAAAAAGTGCTTAATACTGGATTTTCAAAGTGTTTTGTGTCTAGTATAATATGTAATATGCTTTTCTTCTAAGTATGGTACCTGAAAATAAGAGTTATAACATTTCACTAGCTTTTTACTTTGTTTCTCTGTTAAGAGACATTTAACTCAAAGCATAACTTCACGAGGAAATCCCTGAAGACCAGGAGATGTGATCTGGACTAATGGGCAAAGCACTGATAGGTCATTTGGCTTGGTTTCCTCCACCCATTTGGTACCCAGGATGCCAACACGGCTTGCACTCTGAGAGTACCCTAGAAGAGGATGGGCTGATAGACTTCATTGACTTCAGATACCTGGCTATTTTCATTGTCTAGCAAGCCCTACCAAGATTACAGAGTGTACCGTAAATGGAGACAACATCCCTCATAATCCTGCTTCATCTCAGTTTTGCCCATGAAGCTGAGACTTTGTTTTCAGCTCTTTGCCTCTAGATATGAAGAACATGACCCTCAGGGACTGTGTATTGATGCCAGAGGAGTTGGAGTCCTGATAACTGTCTTTGGCTGGCTTGGCTGGCAATAGAGATGTTGTAGACATGTCTTGTGTACATCTTGGAGAGGGAGAATTAGTTAGTATGCTTATCTCCCTACAGCCATGAGGACTGGAACCAGATGCAAAGCCAGGAGGATGAGGTGGCCATCACCGAGCAGGATCTGGAACTTATTAAAGAGAGGGAAACAGCAATACGGCAGCTGGAGGTGAGAGCCAGGTCATGTTTTTTGCTTGACTTAGTGTGTCTGTGGGTAACTGGACTCTCTTTTGTCCACCTGGATTTTCTCTCAATGATTATGGAAAAGCATGAAATACGTTATTGTATGATTTGCTTATTATCTGTGTCGGTAATCATGATGAGTTTGAACTACTGTTATGATGGTATTGGCCATAGTGCCCAGAATACCGAGATCCTTTCCTCAATCACCACATCTTATATGGTCTCCACTGGAAATATGCATACAGAACAGAGCAAAGCTAATAAATATTTTATTGATCATTAGGACTTTGTCCCCAAACCCTAATACAATTTAGGTTAGGCGGGGCTCTACAGAGAGCTCCTTTGCTTGGTGTGAGTAGTCCAGAAGAAAGGCAGGTTTGCTTCGTTTTTGTGCATCCCAAAAGTCAGTCCCAAGTTGTGGATCTTATCACTTCCAGGTGTCAGAAATAGGAACAGTTATTGAGGTGAGGGTTGTGGTAGAGGTCTCTAGGCCTTTCTTACCTGAACTTCCAACTTTAACTTTGCCCAGTGACCAGTAAAATATCCTTAAACCTGAATAGTTTTCTCCTCCTTGGAGGTAGCAGATTGCCATCCTGGGGAAGTGGGGGAGGGACAGAGGGGAGTAGAGAGGAGAAGCTCTGAGTTCTCCCCTGACCTTCATTTATAGCAGTGGTTCTGAACTGTGGCTGCGCTTTAGAATCACCTGGAGAAGTTAAAAAACAAAAACAAAAACTATCACGTTAAACTATGTGAAATTCCTATTTTTTTGTAAGTTAAAAATGATCAAATATCCACAGTTTTATATGGTTCACCCTAGTAAATCAGAATTTCTTGGCATGAGGCTCTGGCCTAGATAGTTTTTTTTTTTTTTTTTTTTAATTGCGCTTTAGATGAAGGTTTACAGAGTAAATTAGTTTCTCATTAAACAATTAATACACTATTCTTTTCATATTTTTTCGTTGTTGTAGTGCAGCCAGGGTTGGGACCCACTGCCCAAGAGGCTGTCAATGTCTGTTTTTAGATGGTACAGTTCATCCTCAAGGTATAATTATTTTATTGCCTTCAAAGATGTCATATCTTTCCTTTATTCTTTTTTATGTACTACTAGTCATCAACTTGGTTCTCTTACATTAAAAATACTGTTAAAGCAGGGAGTAAAGTGAGACAAAGGAGCCCTGGTGGCACAATGGTTAAGTGCTTAGCTGCTAATCAAAAGGTCAGCAGTTGGAACCCACCAGTGGCTCCTCGGGGGAAAAAAGATCTGGCAATCTGCTCCCATAAAGATGACGGCTTAGAAAACCCTATGGGGCAGTTCTACCCTGCCCTACAGGGTCGCTGTGGGTCAGAATCGACTCATTGGCATACAGCAACAACAAGAGTGAGGCATATGGAACTAAGGAAAGGATAGACACCAGAAATAGATCACTTCACATTCAGCAGAGTTAAGTCCAAATTCCTTAGCCTAAGCTTGATTTTCATATCCAGTTATTTCCAGCCTCTAACATACAAACCCTATGTTATAGCCCAGCTGGGCTGTTTGCTCTTTAACTCAGTTGCCTGTTTACATGGCCTCTCCTTTGCTTCAAGGGAAACCCTGGTGGCGTAGCGGTTAAAGGTTGGCAGTTTGAATCCACCAGGCGCCCCTTCAAAACCATATGGGGCAGTTCTACTCCCATAGGGTTGCTATGAGTCGGAATCGACTCGACAGCAACGGGTTTGGGTTTTTTTGGTTTTTGCTTCAAGACACAACTCAAGTCCTACCTCTTCCGCAAAGTCTTCCTCTTTTGCACTCCTTTCTGTACTGTTCATTAGTCATTTCCCATGTAACACGTTGCTTTCTTATTTGTCGTAGGTGTAGTGATTGTCTCCGTCTCTCTTTCCCCAGTTACATGTTAAGCCCCTTTGAATCCTCAGCAACTAGCAGACTGCCCCAACTATAGTAGCCTCTTAGCAAGTGATTGAGATGCTGGCAAGAACTGCTCTTGCTAAGTCGTGATTGGGAAGTTATTGCTTCATGGCATCATTTTTTATTATAGTATTCTGGGAGACAGTGTATTGTAATGGAAAGAGCATGGGCTTTACAGATATAATCCTGGCTGCAACACTGGATCATTTGCAAGCTATGTGACTAGACAAGTTATATAACCTCTTTGAGCCTCATTATCTTCAAGGATACCTAGTTCATAGAGTTTCTGAATGATTAAAATATCAAGGAGGCATAATTCAATGAAAACATCATGAACTTTTTAATTCTCAGCTCTGCCACTTGCCAGCTATGAGATCTTGGGATGAGTTATTAAAAGTCTTTAAGCGTCAATATTCTCTTCTGTAGATTGAAGGTAATGTCTCATTGGGTTGTCGTGAGAACCAATTGAATTAAATAATAGTTAATAATAAACCAAACCAAACCCATTGCCATCGATTCAATTCCAATTCCAACTCATAGCTACCCTATAGGACAGAGTAGAAGAACTGCCCTGTAGGGTTTCCAAGATTGTAAATCTTTACAGAAGCAGACTGCCACATCTTTCCTCTGCAGAGCAGCTAGTGGATTCAAACTGCTAACCTTTCGGTTAAGCTGAGAGCTTAACCACTGCACCACCAGGGCTTCTTAATAGTTAATAATAGCTAACACTTCTTATTATGTGCTTATTGCACAGTTCTAAGTGCTTTTACATATAGTACTTCATTTAGTACTTCTAACAATCCTATGAGATATGCACTGTCATTATCCACATTTTACAGGTGAGGGTCCAGAGAGGTCCTTAACTTGAGGTTACACGGTGTCTTAGTTATCTAGTGCTGCTATAACAGAAATAGCATAAGTGGATGGCTTAAACAAACAGAAATTTATTTTCTCACAGCTTAGGAGGCTGGCAGTCTGAATTTAGGGTGTCAGCTCTAGGCTTTCTCTCTGTGTCAGATCTGGGGGAAGGTCCTTGTATCCTTTCAGCATCTGTGGGCCCAGTGTTCCTTGGAGAGCTCCATGTGTCTGGTCATCAATCTTCCCCTGGGTGTAGGAGGTTCTCAGTACAGGGACCCCAGATCCAAAGGATGCGCTCCACTCCTGGCTCTTCTTTCTTGGTGGTGGTGAGGTCCCTCACCTCTCTGTTCATGTCTCTCTCCCTTTATCTCTCATAAGATAAAAAGTGTGACTCAAGCAAGGGTGTGACTTGAGTAAGGGTTGTGTGACTCAAGATACATCCCACCCTAATCCTGCCTCATTAACATGTAGAGGTTAGGATTTATAACACATAACAAAATGGAGGATAATTACATCAGATCACAAAATGGAGGACAGCCACACAATACTGAGAATCATGGCCTAGCCAAGTTGACACATATTTTTGGAAGACACAATTCAATCCATGACACATGGCAAGACTGTGGATCCTCTGTAGATGACAATCAGACTTCATAGTCTGTGCTTTTAATTATCTGCCTCATATAGTACTTGGCACGTAGTAGGCATTTAGTAAACATTAACTATTATGTTTATTTTCTTTTTTTTAAATTTTTTTTATCGTACTTTAGATGAAGGTTTACAGAACAAATAGTTTCTCATTAAACAGTCAGTATACATATTGCTTTGTGTGTTTATTTTCTGTTTATGAGGAACGCATGATTTATAGAGCCTTAAAAACATGTGTTATGTTGATAGCCAAAACTCCAGATAAGTAGAAGAAATGGATCTTCCAACATGTTGCTTAATGTTATTTAATTGTTTTTTTGTGTTTTTTAGGCTGATATTCTGGATGTCAACCAAATTTTTAAAGATTTGGCCATGATGATCCATGACCAAGGTGATCTGATTGGTATGTATTATTGATACCTTTAAACTCAAGGTGAGTTGATAGTACTGCATTTGGGTGAAAAGAAGTCAGTATGACATATCAGCTGTAAAGTTTACGAATGCTGTTTAGAAAGATTACTAAACTCATTTTATTAGCAATTTTCTTATGTTGTCAAATGTACAAGTTATGGTGAGACCTTGAATACTCAGCCCCACTCACTTGCCATAGCCTCTGATAAATCTTTGACTTCTTTAGGGGAATAGCTGTCAGCTTCCCAGCTTTCAGCTCCAGAAACTTGCACAATTTTAGAATTAGTAACTTTAAGAAAAAAAGGTTTATATTTGGAAATAATTTCAAGTTTACAGAAAGTTGCAAAAATAAAAATATTACAAGGAACTCCTTTATACCTTTTACCCAGATTCACCTTTTAATAACATTCTACCCCATTTGTTTTACTATTTGCTCTCTCCCTCCCTCCGTCTCTCTCTTTCTGTATATATATATACACACATATGTATATACATAGACACATATATACATAATTTTTTCTGAACCATTTGTGGGTGAGTTGCATACTTCATAGCTCTTTACCCTAAAATACTTCAACATTTATTGCCAAAGAATAGAGCTGTTCTCTTATGGGATTAGTAACTTTTGATTTCCTGGCTGGTTGGTTGAGATGGTAACGTTGAAATCAGGACACATAACATCAGAAGTCTGCTAAATTTTTGGTTTTTAAACATCTGAGTGTGGTAAAATATCCACTTACTGTTCTTTTTGCAGATAGCATAGAAGCCAATGTGGAAAGCTCAGAGGTACATGTCGAAAGAGCCACTGATCAGTTACAACGTGCTGCTTACCATCAGGTAAAAGCAGGTGTCAATGAAAGGCACTCTGTGCTGCAGACATTATGGGCCAGCACAGTACACTGACACATTGAGAACAGCTGCAGCCTCTTGCTTAGGCTTAAGCTGGAGGCAAGTAGTCAAAATTGCAGTCCCAGTTCCATTTTTAGTGTTTTCCTTTGCAGAGATATCTACAAAAGGCATCAAGCCTTGAATAAACTTACACAGAAGCCACCTAGCTGCAAAGCTAACACCATAAGCTAGCATGACACCTAAATCTTGCTTAAGGCAAATTATATATCCTAAACAGGTGAAAATTGTTTTAGCTAGTATACTAATAGGTACATTAAAGTAGGGCTTCATAGATAATTTATGTTGACTGTTGCCACAGAGGATGAATGTAGAATCATTTTGTTATTTATCTATGAATAACAAAACAAAACAAACCGTTTGCTATTCAGTCAATTTCAACTCATGGTGACCCCATGTGTTACAGAGTAGAACTGCTCCATAGGGTTTTTTGGCTGTAATCTTAATGGAAACAGATCTCCAGGCCTTTCTTCCAAGGTACTGCTGGGTGGGTTCGAATTGCCGACCTTTTAGTTGGTAGCCAAGCACAAACCGTTTGCACCACCTAGGGACCTTATCTGTGAATAAATAGAGGTTAATCATCATGGAGCTGTTTCTGTAAAGTGAGAGTCTACATATTAGTTGAAACTCCTATCTTGAGACATTTACGTGGGTCTTTATCTCAAAATATTGTGAATGAGGCTCTTCTTCTTCCCCCTCAACTCGGTGTTGTGGGGCTTTTTAGAAATAAATAACACCTCATTCATTTCTCATGTTCCCAGGATAGCTGTATTTTACCTGGAAATGTTCTTAAAGAAATGTGTATTTAATAATAATGTTTCCTTTAAAAACCATGTGATGACTTTAGTGTCCAACAGTAAAGGAATAATTAAAGTATATACATCTACTCAATGTTATATTATGTGGGCATTAAAAGAGATGTTTCTGAAGAGTTTATAATAAGAGAAAAAATTGTATACTAAAACATTAAGTGTGAAAAACAGGAAGCATCATGCAGCATGATCCCAATTCTGTCACATAACAATATATAGAGATAAAAGATCAGAAAGAAATAACAATCAGAATGTCAACAGTTTTATCTATGGGTGATTATTTTCTCTTCTACTTGTGTATAATTTTTACAAGGAACATAAAATTGTATAATAGGCATAAAACCTTTATTTAAAAATACATGCACAAATGTACAAATAACTTATTTTGTTGTAAATAATGCCTAGCAGCTTGGGTATAAACAGCTCCTTTGAATAATTGTGTTTGGGGACCTGGAATTAAAACTTGCACTACTGGTGAATGCTGAGAGATTTTGAGAAGGTCTCTGCATATTCGTACATGGATAGAGTTAATGTTTAATTACAAAGAGGCAGAGTTTTGAAGCATTCTTGGAGTCTTAGATATTCCAAAAAAAAAAATCTTAAACTTGTTTCGTGAGTACCTTCTCTACATATTTCTTTCCTCAGAAAAAATCTCGCAAGAAGATCTGTATCCTGGTGCTTGTCCTGTCAGTGGTTATTGTAATCTTGGGATTTATTATCTGGCTAAGTTCTAAATGAAGTGATTGCCTCAGAGCCTTCTTCGCTGAGCTGTTTTCAAGGGCAAGGGCTTGTTGGAGTCTTGCCAGAATAAACTGATCACAAGAAAAGAGCATATACCAGAACATCCTGTAACAATTTAGTTAGAAACTAACTGCTAACTAGTTGTTGGAATTAGTGACCTATGGAGATAGTATTTATCAATTTATGTATACATTTTATTGATTTCTCAAATTAGGAATTAACTTATGTGGATTTTGCTTTCTCTTGTATTTTGATTGCCCTTCGTCCCAAGTGTATATGGAAGATTCCATTCTAGATGCTCTTGTTTTGACAGGTGACACTACAGTCTTGTAATATTGTCTTTTTATGTGTACACCAGATTTACCTTTTTACTAGCAACTGAAATAGAATTACTTTCTGGCACCCAGCATATTGGAGTCTGTCAGAAACTGTATAATAAGCCAACAATTTTTATTATTTAACATTTTAATTTGAATTTCTAAGAAGCCTATTCTCTGCTTTGAAAGATTTTGAAACTGTTTAACTGGAAAGTAAAAAATTGCCCATGTGATCCAGATTAAATGAGAAGGCTCTATCTGAGCTGGTCAGTTGTTGGGGTACATGTTACTAAGCTGGGTTTAAAGTTTACTTTATTATCTGCTAGGATCATCTAGAACAGTTCACCCTTATACACACTAAGCCATCTTGTTCCCTTTTTAAGAGGTTAATTTAATTAACATTACTATACACTATGGGGTCCCTCTCTTACCTGTCTGTATAGAAAGAGAAAATTAGACAGAGCATGCTTTTGGAAAGCAGATAGGAATTAATTGGAATGATTTAATCTTTTTGTTATTGTTGTTCACTTGTGATTCTACATTCCTGGTGAATGATAAATGTTGCCATCAAAGGGTTGCTTCCTACCCCATAAGGGTTACTGGGCATTTGATGGGAGGGAGAGTTTAAAGCTAGACTGAGGTTGGTTTAAAATTTAGTCCTGTGAACCGGGTGATAAAGCAAAGAAGAGGTTCATTTTTGTAAATACTATTGGTTTGGAATAGTAATATTAGACTTATCCTAATTTATGAACAAGAGATTAATCTCTCCCTGCATAGTTTTAGATACACACACACAAATGTTTCAATAAAAGATCGCTGTCTTGTAATATAAATGTCATCCACTCCTCTTTTTCACAGGCCTAGAGCAGTTAAAGGGAACATAATTTCTTTAGGCTCTCACATAAATGTGAATCCACCCAGTGATTTCAGTTCATCCTTCAGTGAATTAAAGGATTTGGCTACCCTGGATATATTTATATTCCTTTCTTCCATTTCTGCTCAATGTTACTTAATCTTCTTTTACTGAACTAATGTGAACAGCATGGAAACAATGACCCAAATGCATTAAGTTTCTTTGCACTCTTGCACCATTCCACCCAATTAATACAAATAAACATTTTTAAAGCTTTTGTAGTAAGTTTTTATGAGTTAACATCCTAATGAGGTAGGTTTTAGGTTATGTGCTGTCCTCAGAAAAATTGAGACCCTCGACCCTCCTTGGAGATTAGGTGACGGTTGGTTTGGGGGATGGGATAGGTGCTGCTGCAGTCCTTTTCTTGAAAAACAGGATGGAGTTGTTGGGGTGGCTCGGTGGCCCAAGCAGCAGTTTCAGATCTGTTTCCTTGGTTCTGTAATCACTGGTCCTACAGCTGGACTTGGATACATCATTTCTAACACTCCAGAAAAGAAAAAAAGCCTTTACTGTGAAAAACTATTTGAATTTGGGTAAAATAAAGTGACCATAGTTCTGTTCTATAATACTATGTAATCCAGTGGTAGTGGTAATGGTGGTTATGGGTAGCAAAGATGAGCTTGACCTAGAATTTGTGGTAGTTGCCAAAGAAGTTCTGCTAGATGGTCCTAATAAACATATTCACAGAATCCCCGTGATCTGTGCCTTGATCATCTTTGGTGCACCATGGTCTAGGGCAGTGGTTCTTCACCTTGGCTTCACACTGGAAACTTAGAAAAAATACTGATACCTACGTCCTCCTGCCCCAAGATTCTAACTTAATTAGTCTTCCGTATAGCCTGGACATAGGGATATTTAAAAGCTCCAGGTAATTTTTATGTGCAATCATGGTTGAGAACCATTGGTTTGGAGTTCAAAAAACTAAGCTGGGGTGCAGAAGACCTGGAGAATCTTAGCTCTGCCATTAACTTGCTGTGGGCCTCTGAACAAGTCACTTAACCCACAGGCCTCGAGTTTTCTCAATATCTCTTTTCCAGCTATAGAATTCTTCGATTATAAGGATCACATGGGTTTAGTCTGAACATATAAATTGTACGTTCACTTCTGTATTCCTCTCCTGTTTTCTTCCTCTTTTCTCCTTCCATTATTCTTCCTTTATGGAACATTCTAGGAGAACTGGGCAGATCTAGCATTCTCTCTTAAAACAAAGTAAAACTGTAGTACTGTATAGGATAAAGTAGAAATGTCCTGCTGGCCACTTCACTTGGAAATGTTCCAGAACAAGAGCTTGCTAGACCCCAGACTGATGCTCCTAGGAGGTGGGGGAGGTTCCCTTGCAGCAATGCTCAATCTAGCTCTGAAGCTAAACTTAAACTGCCTTGTACCATTGGACAGGAATGTCAAAATGAAATTACCCTTCAGTCAGTGCAAAGTAAATCATCCTGAGTCTTCTTCATTCAGTCTCTCTTGCTATCCAGAGGCTGTCCTCAGTAATGGAATGAAACTTCTGCTTTTGTCACTAAGTGCTGACCGGAACCCAAACTGAATTTCAGTCCATCCTGTTCCCTAGGGCTACGAATCAGGAACTTCCTCCCTGCTTTTCCAAGCATGTTTAATGTATCTTTAAAGTACCAAAGGATTTTTCATTACTGCTTTCCAGATCTACAAAATACAGCTATTTTAGAATCTATTTAACCAGGAAATAGTTTAAAAGGTTTTGATTCCCAACCCCTGGTCCTATTTTTAGGCCAACTGAGTGGTTCATTTTAATGTTTTACCAAAATGAAATTTGATTAATAATGTATCACTTTTTTTTTAAAGGACAGTAGAACTTTCAATGCTGGACTCTGATTCAAGACCAAGTATTTACCAGTCCATATAAAAAGAAAAATTATGTAGTGGGCTTTTTAAAGTACCATCTGAGTCTGACCTAATATTCTTCCAACTTTTTAAAAAGGATACTTTAAGATAATAAAAATGAAAAAGTGATAGTGTTAGATGGCAGTCTTCATTTTTAAATCTCCTTAGGTGGCAAAATAAAAGTTGATTCTGCTATATTACCTTTTTTTTTCCTTTCCTGGTTTATGACATCTCTAAAATCTGTGAACGATTCATCTAGACTAGCCTCATCATTTTACAACCAAAGAAGCTGAGGCCAGGAATGGTAGTCTAACATAGGAATTTAAAGGCTTGAGGAGGTATTCTGCATATGGTCATCTGTGGGATAATATTTGAGTCCTTACAATCAATAAGTTACAAAACTAAATGCTTTATTATCTCATATCCACAAAACCATCTAGGAGAGGTATTTTTCTTGTCCTCATTTTATGGATCAGGAAACTGAGTCATAGTAGTAATTAACCTGCCTTTAGTCACACAATTTAAAAGTGATGGAGCCAGGATTTAATCTCAAGCACTCAGCCTTCAAAACCACACCTTTAGACAGTTTAATATACTGCCTCCATGCCACATTATCACTGATGCAAACCATCCTGCTCATCCCTCTTCCAGGAAGCCTTTCCCTAAACACCTGGAGGAGTGACAATGTCTGTCCAATCTTTCATAAACTCCTTTTTTTCCATCAGTACCTTGTGAACTTCTCTTCATTCACCACCTTGCTAAGTGAAGCCTCCTGCTTGTACAATCTATACACACATATACCACACACACACAATTTTTTCAGTGTCTCCATTTGAGCACTTATAAATCATATCAAAGATGTTTTTAAAAATTTTTTTTTGACATGAATATGCTCCTGATGTCTTTAGATTCTATTCTAAGGAAGGCTATCAAAGGCTAAGGAATTCATCTTTTTGTTGCAATACCAAAATCCAAAGGCAGCTAGCTCAACAGTCTTCCCATGTCAAGAAGTTAAGGGCCTAGACTGCTGCCCTCCAGTTTGCTGACATCATTGGTGCCCAAACAAAGAGCATTTTGCTTTATAACAGGTTAGGTAAGTATAAAGTGCCAGTACATCAGAGGCCAGTGTGAATATCAGCTGTGCTAGAAACAGTGAACATGTCCGAGGAGTAAAGAATTATAAGGGTAAGAATATGGATTTTTCTGAAGTAAGCACGAAAAACAAACCAAAAAAAAAAAAACTTGTTGCCATTGAGTCAGTTTCGACTCATGGTGATCTCGTGTGTTACAGAGAAACTCATAGGATTTTCTTGGCTATAATCTTTACAGAAGCAGATTGCCAGGCCTTTCTTTTGTGGTACTGCTGGGTGGGTTTGAGCCACCAACTTTTAGGTTAGTAGTTGAGTACAAACCATTTGCACCACCCAGGGACCTATAGTCAGCGCTAGAAAGGATTAAAACCATACACACCAGCTGAGAAAAGGGGAAATGGACAAGATTTTATCATTATTGATAGCCCGAAATGGCTTACACACCACTGCTTGCCTGAAAAGAGCATGGAACTTCAAAAGGCCATACAATCTGTGTAGATGAAAGTATCTTGTTCTTTCCTGTTACACTTAAAGCATTTTTGAGCATTATTTTCTTCCTAAAAATCATGTCCTTGTGCTCAAAGGAGGGAAGCCATAGAATTATTACTGTTTTCTCGAATCCAATTTATAATTTGTATTTTTCCCATCAGCCTAGGTTTACTTTAGAATTGCAAGGCTGGAAGGGAGGATATGAACAGGTCATTTGATAAGTGATCTGAAAAGTTAACATCTTTGCTGGGTGAGTTTATTGTGGTTTTGAAGACCAGAGGAAACAGTGATTCTCCAACCTGCAGAAGAGTTTATACTTTTTTAAATCCAAATTAATGTTATGCTGCAGTTAAATCTTGAGGCCTGGAAACTTCACCGAGGGCAAAATCTTTTAAACAGGCTGATTTTAGATTTAGAGGAACAGCAGCAGGGAATCAAGAAAAATAACTCCATCATAGAAAGAGATTCCTTAACTAGCTGTGCAGTGCCTCTTTCTGGGTGACCAGTAATTTTGCTATTCGCTTCTTTAAAAAGAAAAAAACTGCAGGTCAGATAATCCTCCTACCAAGTTTTCTACAAAAGCAAAAAGCGATGGGCATAATAAAGATTCTACCAACGTCTAAGCTGTGTGAGATAGTAGTGATTAAAGAACATGGCCTTTGGCATCAACAGACTTAGGTTTGAATTCCATTCACCACTTACTCTAGGATGAGCGTGGGCAACGTGAGCCTCCCCTTAGGGATCATAACACTTACGAGTGTTGTGAGGATTAACTTAGATGATCCGTATAGAACATATACTTGGCCAGATAAGCACTGAACAAAGCCATTACAACCACAGGCCCTGCTGATGGTCTCTCTTAGCTGCTGGTGGCCTAGGGCAAGCCAGCAATCCCACTGCTTCCTCACACTTTTTTTTTTTTTTCGCCCTCGACTCAGTTCTGACTCATGACGACCCCACATGTGTCAGAGTAGAACTGTGCTCCATAGGGTTTTCAAAAGCTGATTTTTAGAAGTAGATTGCCAGGCCTTTCTTCCCAGGTGCCTCTGGGTGGACTGAAACCGCCAACCTTTCGTTTAACAGCCGAGCACATAATCATTTGCACCACTTATAGTGCAATATGATCAAAAGCAAAAAACCCAAAGAGGCCACAACTTTATTAACAACTTCAGCTATGCACAGTGAAGAGTTGGACCAAGGACACCTGCCTCCTGATTGGAGCTGCTCCTGGCTCTGGCTTGTCCAGAGTTTTCATAAACAGGCTAGACCTCTAAGGCAGCTTCTCAGTCCAAGGCCCAGGCTTGAATCGGAAAGGTGGAAGCGAGCAGGGTGCAGTTCCTCCTTAAAGGGCACAAAGAGGAAAAATAGAATCCGTAAGCACTCCAATCTCTGAGCTCTGCTCCCTAGTTTCTCTCCAAATTGGAAGTGGAAGGCTGAGGGTGCAGCCCGAGACTACAGAGCTCCTAAGATTTTGGAGTCCAAGAATGTGTCTGCAGGAGGACGTAGGGGGAGACAGGACATCACTCCCTACAAGCTTTTTCCTCAGACTCCCCTCGGCCAAGGAAAGCCCTAGCCTTCAGAGACTTCCAGAGTAGACATACTCCCTCAAACACTAAAAAAAGACCTCAAAATCGGCTTCCAATCTCCACCACCACCAGAAGCGCTGCGGACGTGCCACCGCGCGCACGCGCACAGGCTGCTGGGATGCCGCCTCTCCCCTCCTGGTCTTCCAGTTTCCCGGCGTGCTGCGGGCCCGCCAAATGGGAGGGGGAGACGCAAGATGGCGGCAGCCGCGAACTCCGGCTCCAGCCTCCCGCTGTTCGACTGCCCGACCTGGTGAGTGTCGGGGCGGGCAGGGCCGAATTGTCCTGGGCTAAGCTAGGCTGGGCTGGAAGGGCGGCTTATTTCTCGTGGCGAGCTGAACGGCTCAGAGACCCTGGGACTGGTTGAAGGAGCGCTGTCTGCCACGCCGGGCCGGGCGGCGTGTGGAGGAACGGGGAGCCTGGAGCCCGGGCCCAGGAACTGAGGAGACCCAGGGTTGGGGGCCCTAGGGTGCTCGCTCAGGCAGTCCCTCGGACGATCAGCCGGTCGCTGGGCGCTTAGGGGCCTCGACCCCGAACTTACCCCAACTCCTGACTGAGTGCCTGGTGCTCTTGTGGGGCACCGTACCTGCCCCACTGCTGTCCGTCCCGAGCGCGCGCGAGCCAGCTTGCCGACCCCAGTCCAGCCTCAGAGCGCGCATCACTTTCGTCGCTGCATCCCCGTGCAGTACTTGTCTTTCTCCTGCAGAGTGGGAGCTTCCTGAGGACAGGGACAGCCCTGACCTATCCCCGTGTTCTTAGCGACTAGCGCGAAGCCGGGCACAAGTGGGCATCAGTAATGTTGGAATGAACTTCTTCAGCCCTTCACAAGTTCTTGGGAATAATTTAGTCTTTGAGTAGGGATTCAGTATGAATAAATATGAATTACCTTGCGAAGACGCGCACCCGAGTTAGAGCTATTTCTGCTGTAGCTCTTAACACAGTGTGTTTATGTGTGACGTCTCTGACTCCGTTATATTGAGATCCTCAAGGGCAGGGATTGTCTGATGCATCTTTGTATTCCCAACTCCTAGGCCTGGGCCAGGGGTACGTAGTAGGAGTTCACAGAGTATGCTTTGGATGTAACATTCTTTTCCCTAGGCTTTTTGTCCAGTGCCTTGTCCTTTCAGCAACTGCCGTAGAGGGGTTGGGCAGGATTGTGAGATGACTGTGTTACATCTTCAGTTAAACTGGACAAGGATACATTTTTCACTAGGGACTCTGGCAAGGTTTTTCATTCTTAAGCTTCAGAGGAGCAAACCCAAGTAAGCAAGTGAGTGTGTTACTGTTTTTTTGGTCCTTTTGCACTTTTGTAACATCAATTGCTTCAGTCAGTACATTCTGTCCATTCTGACCATTTTGGTCCCTTCCTGTGTTGATTTTGGACAGAAGAGCAAACTTATAGGTAGAAGAGACTGTTTTAGATACATGTACCATTTTCTCAGCATCTGGTATGTGCCAGGCATTGTATAGGTGGTTTGATATATGTGTATGCCTCTTGAGTGCTCTGGCTCTAAGAGTATAAAGAAAAGTTCCCTTAATCATGGTGTTGTAGAAAGACCTATTCAAGGGCAACAGATACCTCTTGTACTCATCTGATACCTGATTTCATGGGCATGAAGCTAGTGGGTTGCCCTAGCTCCCTAGTTATGCATCTCTGATTTGTCTGAGAGCTCAGGTCAGTACTCTCTGCTTATTCTGTGATGAGACTAATCATGATCAGCCCCAAACACCAATTGCTTTCTTCCACCTTTTTATGATATTAATGGTAGTGGTAAATCTTAGATTCACACTCCAGGTGATGAGACTAACAGGGCTATATAGTACTTGCACTCTGTGCTGCTTTCTCTCAAAGGTAGATAAATCCAAAACCCATTGCCGTTGAGTGGATTCTGATTCGTAGTGACCCTATATGACAGAGTAGAACTGCTCCACAGGGTTTCCAAGGCTGTAAATCTTTATAGCAGCAGACTGCTACATTTTTCTCCCACAGAGCGGCTGGTGGGTTTGAACCGCCTACCTTTTGATTAGCAGCTGAGCGCTTAACCACGGTTGCACCAGGGCTCGTTCCAAGGTAGATACCCAGTGTTAAAATACAGATTTCTTTGGTGTGATCTAAATACAGATCCACTGAAATCTGTTTTAAAGCAATTGAATCATTGGAGAAGTAAGTGTCAAATGTAGAAAGGAGTTGTAATAACAGTGAAATAGATGACATTTCTGCTTGAACATGAACTGATTATAGACTGGTAGGAGAGCTGTGATGTTGAATGGGATGGTTGTAAATAGCATTTATGGACTCATCCTAAAATGCTTTTTTCACTCTTATTTTCAGGGCAGGTAAACCTCCACCCGGTTTACATCTGGATGTAGTCAAAGGAGACAAACTAATTGAGGTATGGGAAATACATGTCTTCCCTTTTTTCGCACCATGCTCAAGATTTCTGCCAGTGACTCACTTTCCACCCCCTCTCCTGTGCTTTGTTTTCCAGCAATGCTACTTTTGTTCATCTTGATTTTTTTTTTCTATTAAAAGCACATGGTGATGTAACACATTCAACCTCATATCTCCCACAGTTTGTTGTAACTTACCTTCCAGATGGAGGGTTTTTATAGGTCATGGGCCCATGGACCTCAGTAAAACTGGAAGCCTTTTAATTTGACATAGTCCCTGTCTCTGAGAATACATGAGATTGTGTGGCGGATGCAAGGTATGCAATAACTGAAGAAAGTGAATCATATAAATTAAGTTTAACTTTTAAGTTACTTCTATGAGATTCAGGCCCAGGCCTTTCATAGTATAGTGATCTAAGACATTTGCTCAAATAAGAGGAAGTAAATGGTGGTGAAATATATTCATTCATTCAGAACATTTACTGAGCGCTTGTTATATGTCAAGCGCGGTGCTAGTCCTTAAAGAAATAGTCCAGTGGGAAAGACACAGTCCCACGAAAAAAAATTATATAATTATGATTGAAGTAAGTACTGCAAAGGAAAAGTTTAGAGGAATTTGACTTAAGAAACCATGAGTTTTGATTAGTTATTAGGTTGTATAAGTTTTTAAAATCCTTATGGTACTGTTTATTTGCCAAGAAATGAAGAATAAGCTCATGGAGCTGTGAGTCTCCGTGTCTTAGACCAATTTTATGTTTGCTTAATCAGCTAGAATTTGGGTTCAAGGCACCATTATTGAGTACAGTTTTTTTCTTTGGTGTATATAATAAAAACAATGCATTCCATGGTTGCTAGCTTGAAAAGTTAACTGTCAGAACTCCTGAAGGATGCTCTGTAAATACATTGTCACTTTCAGGGTATGGTGGAGGTACCCAGGCATTTTTGCAAAATATTAAGGCATGAGTTGTAATAAATTCTGCCATTGTTATCAACTCCTCATGCCCCTAGCCAGTCTCTTAGAGCCCCTTTTTTGCTGGGTTCTTCTATCTTAAAGATTACAAAACATCAAGACTATTCAGGGAAATCATTTAGCTAAAATGTCTGTAAAACCTTTTTTATTACAGTTTTCCAGACACAAAATATTTGTTGCTAAATAACATGATACTTGAAGACATAGGACTCTATTTTGGTTCTAGATTTTAATAAATCTTTAGTTTACAACAGCAAGGAACACAAGGAGGCCTGGCCTTAATGGTAACATCACGTTCCTCTGTGAAATAACTTACTTTTTTCAAAGCACTCTACTTGTCAAAAACCCCTGTGATTACTGGTTCCCAGTAGCTAATAATGTTCTCTGTCTGTTATGGGTTGAATTGTGTTTCTCAATCTGTACTGTAAATCCTCACCTCTATGCCTATGGTTATAATCCCATTTGGGAATGGGTTGTCATTATTATGTTAATGAGGCAGGATTAGTGTAAGTGTGTCTTGAGTCAGTCTCTTTTGAGATATAAAAAGAGATTAAACAAGGAAATGGATATGGGGGAAGATAGATGCCAAGCCACATGAAGATGGCCCAGGAGCAGAAGCTCAAAAGAGTCAAGGACCTTCCTCCAGAGCCGATATGGAAAAAAAGCCTTCCCCTAGAGCCAGCACCCTGAATTCAGACTTCTAGTCTCCTTACTGTTGGAAAATAAATTTTTCTTTGTTAAAGCCATCCACTTGTGGTATTTCTGTTATAGCAGCACTAGATGACTAAGACACTGTCTGTCAGTGCTCTTAGGTGTGCTGAGTTGCCACACAGTTGTCGAGTTACAATTTTTAGACATCACTGTATTATTCTTGAGAGGAACAGACCTGAGATGAGCTTATGTTTAGGGTTTTAGGCAGCACTTGATACTAACTGAGCTATCTATATCCTAGCCTTATGTGAAAGGCTTGTGATGTGTTGTGATAGCTGGGTTTAAGAAGTGCAATATTAAAACAAAAGCCATGAGTCGTTTAAGCCCAGTGTGTAAAGACACACTCTGAGTTATAACTCAAAGGCACAACTGATAGTGGTACTGGCCATAGCTTTAGTGACCACTAAGATTATTGAAAAACTAATGTGTTATTTCATTCATGTGGACAGAAGAAGCACGTTGTCCAAGAATTAGCACATTTCCTTGATTCTTAGACATACTGTTTTTTCCCCTACATTTTAACATTTCTGTATTTGGGATGCCTTTAATAGTGAATATGTACATTTAATTTAGGGGCTCTTCCCTTCCCCTCCAACACCTAAATCTCTGGTATGTCTTTGGCACGTTAGACTCATACAAATTTGGTCAGTATTACTATATTGGAGCCCTAGTGGTGCAGTGGTTAAGAGCTCAGCTGCTCACCAAAAGGTTGGCAGTTTGAACCCACCAGCTGCTCTTTGGAAACCCTATAGGCAGTTTTACTCTGTCCTGTAGGGTCGCTATGAGTCAGAATCGACTTGACGGCATTGGGTTTGGTTTTGGTTTTTATTACTGTATTAGATCCCAAGAGCTGGTAGTCTTATATGTTGTCTTCCTTGAGATCAAATAAGAGCACTGTGGTTAGCAAATTTAAATTTCTAAGGACATAATCTGTATGCATATAAATATGAATGAGAAATGTAATGAGATTTAGTCTGCATGAGTATTACGTACTGAGGAAAAAAATGTTGAAATTTCAGGACTCTCTTAATTCTAAAGCTATCTCTTATTTTTAACCCAAGACTTAAAATTTGGGTCAAAGCAGACATGGAGGTAACCATCTGATTGAGCTGTTAAAGCCAGGTGCTCCGTGGCGGTAAGGGCCTGGGACCAGCTCTACCAGTGACAGATGGGCACTGCTGGACAGGGTTTCCCAGAGGTGACCCACATATCCAGGCTAGCTTGAACTAATGGAGCTTTAAGGCTAAGCTGAAAAGAAACTGGGTAAGTGATTGTTTAAAGAAAAATTAAGAGTGTGACCCACAGTGCTTGTTCACTCCTTAAAATACTCCCTGCCATATGGTACATCTTTTGATGTAAGTAGAGTTAAGAAAATATATAATGTAGTGGTTAAAAGAGCTTAGTTTCTAATGTCAGATAGACCTAAATTTCTGACCCAGCCCAAAAATATTTAGTTGTGTGAACTTGAGTATGTCACTTAATTTCTTTGTACCTCAATTTTGTCATTGATAAAAACAGAAATAATAGTACCTACCCACTTCAGAGGATGGTTGTGAGGATGAAAACTCAAAACATAGTGTGTGGCACTTAAGTGTTCAGCAGTTAATTTATATGCCAAGAGTCTGTTTGCATGAGGTGTGTTTCTGGTTTTATAAGGGGAATACTGAAGCATAGGCGAGAATGGTAGCCCACTGTGAATTCAGTGACTTAGCCAGGACAGAAATATAAACCTCTCGATTCCTAGCCTGGTACCATACTAACTTGACTGCACTTTTCTACTCAGCTTTGTGCTTCTTAGGGATTTTAGAAGGAGTGAAGTGTGAACTGTGTTTAGAAGAGAAACGTACCTGAATGAAGGTTATTCTTCAAAGTGGTCAAATTGTAGGCTGTTAGAATTGGAAGAGGTGTTACTAATAATTCATTTAGAGTCAGCCAATCTGTGGCAAAGGCTTTTCTGATCCAGGATTAAGAGAAAAATAAGAACAAGAATGAGTTTTTCATAAAGATAAATTCAGTTCAAAGAATTGTCTGTTATCCTTGCCCTTTCTACTTATTTGCTTGTGAAATGACCTTTCTTTGACGAAGTTATGCTAATCGGTAATACTTTTAGAACAGTTTGCTGGTCTTTGAAATCCTTTTTTCTGTATTATACTGGGATGTTATATAGTTAAAATTTTTCCGGTGTCACAGTAGTGGCTGAAAACATTTTTGGAGCTCTTGTTTTGGATTTGTTTCAGACCAAGGGCTCTTTGTTTAGAACATTTGCGTTGCAATTCAGTCACACCTGAGTTTAGATCCCAACCCTGCCACTTAACCAGCTGGGCCACCTTGGACAAGTGACTTCATTTCTGTTTTTTTATCTTTATCAATAGAGATGCTACATTTTTTGCAGAGTTGTTTTGAGAATTAGAGGAGATAATGTTTTAAATGCCTAGCAATAATAGTTCTTCAATAAATGTTAGTCGCCACATCCACCTCTCCCATACATAGGAAATCTTTGCCCCATGAGATAGTTCTGTTTGGAAACAGCAAATACTCATTTAGACTTAACTCTGGGTAATACTTTTCTGAAGGAGCCGTGGTGGCACGGTGGTTAAGCACTTGGCTAACTGAAAGGTTCGAACCCACCAGCTGCTACACGAGAACAAGATGTGGCAGTCTGCTTCTGTGAAGATTACAGCCTTGGAAACCCTATGGGGCAGTTCTGCTCTGTCCTGTAGGGTCGCTATGAGTCGGAATCTGTGGCAAACAACAATACTTCTTTGTGTCCAAAGTGAAATGTGATAATACAGTTGGACTTAGGGGCTCATAGCATAAAGTTTAATGTAATTCCAGTTCCTAAAGAGGGTCCAAAAATACTTGGGGCTATGGCAGCATAATTAGAATATAGAGAAGTATTTGTACCTCCCTTTCCTTCCTAACCAAGTGATAATCTTTATTTGAATGTATATTTTCTAAAAAGCAGTCTTATTACTTTATGGACTTTGCACTTCTTGCTTTCTGCTTGATCTAAAATTATGAGCCAGTGAAACCTTAAATTTCCAGTGGACAGAGAACATCCACTCTTGATAGAATTGTTGATCTCTTAGGAGACAGGCCACGTTCATCTAATAGAATTAGAAGAAGTTGTTTTCCTACCAACACTAGACATTTGAGCGCTATATTTGGGGAGATTAATGGCCATAAATCCTCCAGAAATGTTATCTTAGTAAATTATTCTTTATCTTGATGGTCTTGAGGTCTTTATCATGGCGAAAAAATGTTTTTATTCCCAGGAAGATATTTAGATTCTGTACTTGTTTGATTGGAAGAGCTTTTGGCAAACCCTGTTGAAACAAGATTTAAGTAATATTTAATTTAATATTTATTTAGAAACTGATTATTGATGAGAAGAAGTATTACTTATTTGGGAGAAACCCTGATCTGTGTGACTTTACCATTGACCACCAGTCTTGCTCTCGGGTCCACGCTGCCTTGGTCTACCACAAGCATCTGAAGAGAGTTTTCCTAATAGATCTCAACAGTAGTAAGTAGTTCACATCCAATTTCACACATTCCCTCTTGGGCAATGTGAAAATGCTCTTTGGGTTCTTCAATTTGGAAAATATGTTTGATTGCTTATTAAGGAAGAAGTTTACATTTGGTTTTTAAATCAGCCTTTCTCTGTTCCTGTAATTTCTTCTATTTTCTTGAGATAAATTGATGACTGAATATAGAGAGAAGAGAGCTGTGGGGAGTGCTCCCCTGGAGAAGACAATAAGTATATAGAGAGAACAAAAATGCACCCAGGTACAGAGTTTCTATTTGGGATGAAGAAAGGGTTTGGGAAATAGATAGTGATGATGGTTGCACAACATTGTGAATGTAATTAATGCCACCGAATTTTACATTTAAAAATTGGTAAAATGGCAAATTTTATATTATATATATTTTTTACCACCAAAAAAAAGCACCAAGAACGAAGGAGTATGGGTATTCAGGTGTCCATAAGGTCCGTGATAAATTGTGTTCCAAATTAAGCAGAAGCCATGATTAGCTCTTTTAAAGCAGTAGGGCATTGGTGCAGGACATTTTAAAAAAAAACTGTTTTGAGCAAAATTTTAATTTTTGATAATGGGTTCTTTATCCCAGTTACCTTTGTTTTGACTACTAACAACATCTGTTTTAATTCCATGAGCACACTCCAACTAATGATTGGACAGGCAACCGCAGCATTTTCTGGGTGATGGCAAGAAATTAAACTGAGATTTTAAACTTCACCAGTGACAATCCACAGAAATACAATTGAGACTTGCATGGGGCCCTGAAGGTTGTTCATTTTGCCTGTATATAAATATAGAGTAAATTGTAAAGGATCCTGCTTCCTGGGCTGATCATGTTTGATCCTCCTTCTCCTCCCTGCACACACATAGACATATACCCCTCTAATCTGTTCATATGATGGTCTTGAATAGCCTTGTCTCAAAAGTTCGTACCTGCAAATTTATCCTTTCTCTCCATTTCATAACACACAGAATGCAGACATGGAAAAACATTCAGAATCTCCAGTAGGATATTGGCTTGCCTTGGCATTGACTTTTCACCTGTTTCAGCCAAGCTCCTTTCTTGTCCTGCGGAAAACTCAAGCATAATTGCCCTCAGGCCAGCAATTCCTATGTTCCTTAGACTTGAGGCTGAAGAGGTCAGGCCACAGTGATGCCTGTCTCCTGCCTTGGGGAGCATGGCTACTGCTGGGTGGGGACCACTCCTGCTGGACCCAGAATGGAGCCAAACCTGTCTGGCAGCAGAGAGCAAGCAGTGGTATTTGTTATTTGAGGTAACAGCAGGTCTGCAGATGTATAAGAAATTCACTGAAGAGATTCAAGGGTCAGTGAAGGAGTTTTCCTTTTCTCTGTAACACATGACAAGGGATATAAAGTGGGTTTGGTGCCATTTTCATTTTAAAAAGAAAAAAAAGCAACATTGATGTGCTGGGAGGAGCTGACCTGGAATGGGAAAGTTGAACATAATGCTGTCCCTTCTAAAACTCAGAGTTTGTTTTTTTTCCCCTTACATTTCTGATTTGCTTGTTCCTAGCACACGGCACTTTCTTGGGTCATATTCGGTTGGAACCTCACAAGCCTCAGCAAATTCCCATCGATTCCACGGTGTCATTTGGTGCGTCCACAAGGGCATACACTCTACGTGAGAAGCCTCAGACATTGCCATCGGCCGTGAAAGGAGATGAGAAGATGGGTGGAGAGGATGACGAACTCAAGGGCTTGCTGGGGCTTCCAGAGGAGGAGACTGAGCTTGATGTAATTCCATGTCCATGTCATTGTTTTGCTCTTGGAACATTAGTTTTTGCAGTATGGAGCTGTTCTGTGTGGCTTGAAATGCCAAAGATGTAGTAACAGGAGGTTTTCTTGAGCCTGGTAATGGGCATTTGCCACTTTGGAACTGCATCATGTCAGTTTGGTTATGTATGACCAGGGTTAAGAAGGAAACTGGGTCTCCCAGCCAGTAGACTTTCATAGTTGTCTTTGTGCAGCTTCGCTGCCTGTTAGAAGCTGAGGCTAGGAGTTAAATTTTTCTCTTCTTCTGTCTGCTTAAAGCTACACTGTCCAGTATGGTAGCCATTAGCCACATTTCTAGCCACTCACTGGTCACATGTGGCTACTGTATTGAGCAATGCAGAGAGGACATTTCCATCATCACAAAGTGTTCTATTGGACAGTGCTGGCTTACAGAGACTGATGCTTTCATTCATTTATATAGCTTTTTTTTGGTACTATCCAAACAGCCCAGGAGTCTCTTGAATAGAACTAGACTGCTTTTGGTCTTATGTACCTGGCTGCCTTAAAGGCTGTGAATTTTACATGATAAAATTCTTAAGTGCTAGGGTTTTCTTTTTGTAGAGGCTGACCCCCATAGTTTCTGACATAGCTATAGTCCTTCACATGTCTGTCACTGCACTGTGTGACTGGTCTATTCAGGTAGACCAAATAAAAGCATGTCCTTAACCGCTCATATGCATTTACTATTCCTGTACATCAAGGCAGTTTCCGAGCCCTTGAGAAGAAAAGCACAATTGAAATCTTACAATTTAGAAATCATTTCGTTTTAAAGAAGTGGCCTCATAGCTAGAGACCTTGCCAACAGTCACTGCTGCTCATTTCCCCTCCAGGCTGCTTCCATATATCCCTGTCTTTTACTTAAGTGTGCTAGGTCCTTTCTGAGTTCTCTTTCTCAAGAAACTTGGGATATCTGAAACTGCAGTGCAGATTGGAACAAGTCCAGTGGATTGGGAAGAAGCAGGCAACAGTGCTAAGGCCAAGTTAATTATTGAAATGGATTGATAGTTATGAATAGAATTGGGGTCAGGCACAGGATGAGGAGTGACAGAATTTAATGCCAAAAATTAAGTGCACTGGCAGTGTCGTTTAGAGTTTTAAGGTGAGAGCTACTGGGAAAGAAGCTACCAGTTGTCCTTTGTCATCTCTATTTTTTAACTTAAAAACAATTCTTGGAGTTCCTCCTATTCATGTTCCCTTTAATTCTCAGCCTGAAGATGTGATGGCCTTTCTTTAAAAAAAAAAACTCAAAGGTATTTGTGCAGGTCTCTTCTCAGCCCAGAGCTCTTCACCACTTTCTGACTGTCACTGCCCCACCAGTTCATGAGGATATTCCACATTCTGTCAAGTGAGGCTTGTTAGTATTTGCGGTCTAAGGATGGTAATCTTTTCTAAACGGAGAAGAGAGTCTCATCTGTCTTGGGAGGTCACAGTTAGCTCTGAATGCCCTTTACTTGGTAATATTTTCCCCAAATTCCCGTGTACTGACTCCTGTCTTCTGTCTGTGAACCCTGGCCTAGAACCTGACAGAGTTCAACACTGCCCACAACAAGCGGATTTCTACTCTTACCATTGAGGAAGGGAATCTGGATATTCAGAGGCCGAAGAGGAAGAGGAAGAACTCACGGGTGACTTTCAGTGAGGATGATGAGATCATCAACCCAGGTGAGGTATCTTCTTCCTAGTTTTTCTGATGAAAAAGCTGTGGTCCCAGAGTAGCATATACAACCTGCAGGTCAGTTGTAATGTTTCTCAACAAGGTTTAAGATAACAGTAGCTATATTGAGGGGAGATATTTTTGTACAGTCCGTTGGTAGAGTACCCTGAACATTCAAGCATTATACTGTCACAGTGTGAAAGAAATGGCTCAAGGGAAGACCCCGTGTAATTCTCTTGCTGATCATTGGAAGTTCCAGTAAGGCATAGGTGTTTGCTATCTTTACCTCAAAGCAGAACCTAGCCTGACATTGTTGTCTTTATGGGGTTCTGAGTCTGACTGATAACTCCATGGTTGGAGAACCTTCTCCTGCTACCATTAACTGCAGTGAAAACTTGCTTCTCTGTAAGGAAGTAACTTATTAGATAATTTGTATGGAAGTGTCAGTAAGATGAGAGCATCAGTATATAGAGAAGGCAACTTAGTTTACCAGTTTGTTTCATCATTCAACACTGTTTTATTGGACTCATGTTATATATATCTCAAGTACTGTGGTAGATGCATGACATACAGCGGGAAGCTATAGTTTATACAAAGATGATAGAACTGAAATTCAAGAAGACCTTGTTTGAAAATAAATCTCAGTGGGTGGAAACAAGGAACCCAGACTGACAAGTTGCTCTTGTTTCCCAAGGTGAAATGCATCGAGACTAACTTTCAAATCTTGCATTTAGGTTCAAAATATCAGTTATTTAAATGGAGAGGATCTGCTCCAGTGACAGTTTGTGAAAACAAAAAGATCTAGGGAATTTAGTTAATTGAAAACACATGAGTCAGCAGGGGGATGTGGAAACTAATCAAGTACAATTAAAAACTGCATTAATAGAAGAATGCGAGGACAGTAACCCCACTGGTCTGTGTTCTGACCAGAACTCACCAAAGTTTGTTATGTTGTCCTGAGAGATGACATGGAAGCTCACAAGCTGAAGGAGCGCTGTTGTGGAAAATGGTCCCCTGGAGGCCTAGCATGTAAGGGAACCATCAGAAGGGAGAGGAAGTTGAAGGAGGCATGACCACTGTTGTCAGATAGTTGCAGGGCTGACCTTAGGGAGGAAGGTTTGGGGCAAAACCAGAGCCAGTGGGCACCAAGTATCTGGCTCAACGTTTAAAAAAAAAAAAAAAAGTACAGCTAGATGGTGCCCGGCTACCACCACTGACTGCTCTGACCAGGATCACAACAGAGGGTTCTGGACAGAGCTGGAGAAGGATGTAGAACATAATTCTAACTCACAAAAAAAAGACCAGATTTACTAGCCTAAAGAAGACTGGAGAAACCCCGAGAGTATGGCCCCCAGACACCCTTTTAGCTCAGTGGTAAAGTTATCTCCAAGGTTCACTGTTCATCCTGGGAGTGGACAGCCCCGTAAAACCAAATGAGACTAACAAGGTACAGTAGTCCAGTGACAAGGGCCAGAAGGCAGAAGGAGACAAGGAAACTGGTGGTAGGGAACCCAAGGTTGAGTAAGGATATTGTTGATGTGAGATTGTTAACCATTATCATAGGGCAACATTTTGTAGTAACTGTTAAATGAGAAACTATTTTGTTCTGTAAGCCTTCACCTGAAGTACAATTAAAAAAAAAAAAAAAAATCCTTCGAGAGTGGCTTCAGTTCTGAGTTAGAAGGGTGTCTGGGGGCTGTAGACTCGGAGGTTCCTCCAGTCTCTGTCAGACCAGTAAGTCTAGTCTTGTGAATCTGGATTTTGTTCTACATTTTTCTGCCACTCTGTCCAGGACCCGACCCCCTACTGTGGTCTCTGTCAGAGCAGTCAGTGGTGGTACATGGATACTATCTAGTTCTTCTGGGCTCCGGCCAACCCCTGGAAACTCTTGTTTAATAGGTTCTGGTGTGAGGCCCGAAATAAGTTTCCCAGCTTGGTCATCCGGCCCTGCCCGAACATTCCCTCGGGCATTCACTACAGGAAACGGGGAACCTAAGGTAGAAAGGGGGAAAGTGCTGACACATTGTGGGGATTGCAGCCAGTGTCATGAAAACTGATGTATAAATTTTTGAATGAGAAACTAGTTTGCTCTGTAAACTTTCATCTAAAGCACAATTAAAAAAAAAAAAGTTTCCAGGGGTTGGACCTCTTAGAAATGTGTATTTTAAAACAAACTCCAGTTTGTACTGATGAACAGCAGCCATTTGGGGATAACTGGAATAAACAGTCTGTTAAGTCCCTTTCAGAGAGTCAATCTGATCTTGTCTATTTTTCTCCTTGAAAATTAGTGCTCTGGTTTTGTTTTTTTTTAAATTTTTTCCCATACAAAATTTTACATACATTGTTATGTAACTCTAATTGCTCTCCCCGTACTGTGACAGCACACTCCTCCTTTCCACCTGTGATTCCCCATGCCCATTCAACCAGCTCCTAACCCTTTCTGCCTTCCCATCTCACCTCTGGACAGAAGCTGCCCGTCTAGTCTCTTATATCTACTTGAGCTAAGAGGCATACTCCTCACGAGTATTACTTTATGTCTCTCAGTCCAGTCCAATCCCTTTCTGAAGAGTTGGCCTCGGAAATTGTTTTAGTTCTGGGCTGATAGAGAATCCAAGGGCCATGCTTTCCAGGATTCCTCCAGTCTCAGCAGACCATTAAGTCTGGTCTTCTCACTAGTATTTGAGTTCTGCACCCCATCTTTCTCCTGCTCCATCTGAGAGTCTCTGTTGTGTTTGCTGTCAGGGTGGTCATTGGTGGTGGCCGGGCACCATCTAGTTCTTCTGGTCTCAGGCCAATGAAGTTTCTGGTTTATGTGGCCCTTTCTGTCTCTTGGGCTAATACTTTCCTTGTGGCCCTGGTGCTCTTCATTCTCCGTTACTCCAGGTGGTTGAGACCAATTGATGCATCTTAGATGACCGCTTGCAAGCTTTTAAGAGCCCAGATGCCACTCACCAAAGTAGGATGTGGAACATTTTCTTGATAAGCTTTGTTATGCCAATTGACCTAGATGTCCCCTGAAAGCATGGACCCCTACCCCTGCCACTCTGTCCCTCAAAGTGTTTGATTGTATTCAGGAAGCTTCTTAGCTTTGGTTTAGTCCAGTTGTGCTGACTTCCCCTGTAGTGTGTGCTGTCCTTCCCTTCACCTAAAATAATTCTTATCTACTATCTAGTAAGTAAATAACCCTCCCCCTCCCTCCCCACTCTCATAACCATCAAAGAATGTTTTCTTCTGTGTTTAAACCTTTTCTTGAGTTCTTATGATAGTGGTCTTATACAATATTTGTCCTTCTGTGACTGAGTAAATTCACTCAGCATAATGCTCTCGAGATTCCTCCATGTTACAAGATGTTTCACGGCTTCATCGTTGTTCTTTATCATTGCGTAGTGTTCCATTGTGTGGATATACCGTTATTTGTCTATCTGTTCGTCCGTTGATGGGCATCTAGGTTGTTCCCATCTTTTTGCTATTGTGAACAGTGCTGCAGTGAACATGGGTGTGCATATATCTATTCATGTGATGGCCCTTATTTCTCTAGGATATATACCAAGGAGTGGGATAGCTGGATCGTATGGTACTTCTCTTTCTAGCTTTTTAAGAAAGCACCAAGTCGATTTCCAAAGTGGTCGTACCATTTTCCATTCCCACCAACAGTGTATAAGTGTTCGAGTCTCTCCACAGCTTCTCCAGCATTTATTGAAAATTAGTGCTCTGAGGCTTTATTCAGGTAGTGTAGCATAGTGGTTAAGAGTGCGGGCTCTGAAATCAGAAGGTCTGCATTTCTTTCCACTTAGTAGTTGTGTGGCCTTGGCCAAGTGACTTAACAGACTGTCTACTTCAGGATTGCTGGGGAGGTGGGATGAATTAATACAAGCATCATTACTTAAGATTGCTGCTTGACACTCAGTAAGTCCTTGATGAATGTTGACCATTAAACACCGTCATCATCTGCCGGCCCTTTTGCCTTTTACCTTTGCAGCCTTTCCTATACCAAAAGTAGAGCCAGCTAGGAGTTTGTTGGTAGGTCTCCGAGGAGCAGAGATAACTCTGGAATGGGTGCATCCTGTCTCTCTAGGACTAGACTGGTTAAAGAAAGTGAGGAGAGGGTGAGAGCCCTGAACACCCTTCAGTCAGGACTGGACAGGGTCCTCCAGAGCAGCTCAGCCCCTCCCCTCAGCAGGCCTGTGTGCGTATGTGGAGCAGGTCCCCATGAGCTACTCCTCTTGGGCTCCAGTTGCTCTTGGGCCTCATTTAGCTTTCCCTGCTGGAAGGATGGACTGGAACAAACAGGGCTCCTAGGGGGTTGAAAGAAAAGATTAAGGGGTTGTTTTTAGAGACCCTGTCTCCTTCCTAATGATCCTGGATATCTTTTCCCTTTTCATCCTCTATATAGAAGCCATTCATTTATTCATTCATTCATTGAACAAAGATTGGTTGCCAGGGTATATTTTTTAAAGGCATCTAATATGTGAAAGGTTGGGAGTTCAAATCCACCAGCTGCTCCTTGGAAACCCTATGGGGCAATTCTACTCTGTCCTATAAGGTCGCTATGAGTCGGAATCGACTTGATGGCAATGGCTTGGTTTGGGTTTAATATGTGAAAAGCCAGGCTTAAAACAAGTAAACCAGGGGGTAATTATTCACATTAAATAGGGATTCTTTGTTTTCTAAAAAGATTCATAGGAGTTTTTCTTTAAATAGCAAACGTCCCTAGTGCATTTAAAATAAAATGTGCAACATCCATTAGGAAAACAATTCCTTTTTTTACCGCTATATTAAGGTAAAAGGAACTTGGAATAGTTTTTTCAAGTAGTGGTAAGTCTGGGCCTGCCTGTTTCCACATACTTTCTCAACCTTCAGGGAGAAAACTCCTGTTCATTCTTAGTGATCCAGCCTGATCATCTTCTCTGGGCTCCAGGAACACTGTTTGCACATCTTCTAAAGAACCTCTATCATGTTGTAGCTTATCTGGCTCTATAACTGTGAGCTTCTCAAAGGCAGGACAGTCTCTTGGCCTTTATTTCCATGCCTGATGTCCAACAAATGAAGAATGAGAGTAACGGCCAACAAGTCCCTTACTCTTACTGCTTTCTCCCTGCAGAGTGAGTGAAGCTAGAAGCTCTGTAGGGTGGAGTATAACAAGGGTGGAAACTGAAAAGGCAGCCTCTCTCCGACCTGTCTGGACAGGAAGCCTCACTCAGATCCTTCAGTAAAGGTCTTGTTTGTATACAGGTCAGGTGGTTCAGCTCAAAAGGCCAGGTTAATTTGGAAGCCGTGGTCTGAGTCCTAATTTTGTTATTTTCTAATGAGTGATCTTGGGCAGGGTGTGTGACCTCTTGACATGTCATTGTTTTATCACTAACACGGGATTGATAAGGTCTACTCTTCCACTCTCCAGCAGGGTGATGGGGCAAGTCACTTTACTTCTCCAAGCTCCAGTTTGTTTTTTTGTCTATTAGATGTTTATTACAGTAGTACTGAACCTCATAGGGTTGCTGTGGGGATTTAATACAGTGCCCAGCACACAGTAAACACTAAGTATTAGCTATGTTTTACTGTTTTAAAATTAAAGCTGTTGTGATTGCTTTGTTTGCAGTGAGCCCTATGCCCTTGTCCCTCCCAGTAGAGTACCAGCCTAACCCTGCGCTCATCTCTTTCTGCAGAGGATGTGGATCCCTCAGTTGGTCGCTTCCGGAATATGGTGCAAACTGCTGTGGTCCCAGTCAAGGTAGGAAGCACATTGTAACAGTATTTGAAATGCCACACGATGTAGGTTTTAAAACCACTTTTTTGTGTGTAGGTGGATGTTAAGTGTGTGCTTACTTTTAAAACATTCTGTGCTTCCCTCTCATTTTGCATTCTGTGGAAACGCTTTACCTCACCTGTCTAGAGAATCCTGTAGTACCACAGAAAAACTACAGGTGACCAACAGCTTGGTGCTACATATAGTAAATTATGGTACAATGTGAGTCTATAAATTTGCCTTCCAGAAGGGTGCAGAGAAAGGCGCACTTTTCTTTGGCTTTTCCTTTCTGACTCAAAGTAAGCTGTTAGGCCAGAAAGAGGAATTATTGCAGTACTGCGTAGCACCTGTGGCTTTTGCCATGCCTCTATTTTGTAAACAGGAATGATGTAGATAGGAAGGACAGCCCAGGTGTGTATTAGGTTTAAAAATCAGGTATGATGAAGAACCAAGAGGAGGAAGTTACGGAGATGCTCTAAAATAACTGCTTAACATGAGAAGGATCTACCGGACAGCTAGCACTGCCCAAAGGGGAGCAAACTGCCCCTTGAAGCAGTAAGATCTCTGTTAATAGAGGTATTCATAAAAAGATTGCCAGAGGTCTAACGCTGGTCGGAGATGCTATAGAGAGCTTTATTTTTAATAAATCTTCAGAATATATTAAACTAATGAACTGATAAGATATGTCAGAGCCCCAGGTAGTTTTTGTTTAATCCAAAAGGGAGTATGGGGATTAGGGGGCATCTTTCATGAGTTTTAGTCCAGTATCAGGAAGTGGGACTATGTGACTCTAGTATTCATCTCATATTTCCCCTTGAGCTCTTTTCTCTTGCTCTTCTTTTTCTTCTTCCTTTTTCCTTTGGAATGTTCTATTGTCATTAAAGTACAAAATCAGCAGATACTTTTACTTTTAGTAAATTTTATTGTGGTGTAATTTACATAAAACAAAATACAACCATTTTACGTGTTCAGTTTGAGTTTTAGCAAATGTATATACATCTGTGTAACCACCATCACAATTAAGGTACAGAAAATTTCCGTCACTCCCAAAAAGTTCCCTCATGTCCCTTTGCAGCCAGTCTGCTCCCACACCCAGCCCCAGGCAACCACTAAACTGCTTTCTGTCACTATAGATTTGTTTTGCTCTCAGATTAAGGTTTAAAAATTGGGCACCCAACATGTAGATGCCAACTTTTTATTTCATTCCCCCCAAAAAAATTTTTTAAATACCTGCTCCCCCCTCTAATAGGTGATAATACCTATTATCAACCTCCATTTCCTCAAAGAGCATTTTAACATCAAAAAAGGAAAGGGGGGTGGACATGAGCTTAGAAGAGTTATTTAAATTGGACAAATTTTACTTTATGAAAAACTCACCACACTGTCCTCATTTTTCTCAGTTTGCCATAGGATGGTGAGAATGTTGTGAAACAGTGTTTGGGAACCATCACGTTAGGTTATCACTGAGGTCCCTTCAAACCCTGAGACTTCAGGACAGTGAAATAGGTTGTCTGGGAAATGAAGTTTAGAGATCTTTCCCAAAGGTCGACTTTCCTAGGGCTGGAACAGAAAAGGCTAACTTACACCACTCTTGTGTTTCACCTTCTGTCTCCTCTTTCCATGCTCTCCCCTCCTCGTTGTAAACCACAGAAGAAGCGAATGGAAGGCCCTGGCTCCCTGGGCCTGGAGGAATCAGGGAGCAGGCGTCTGCAGAACTTTGCATTCAGCGGAGGACTTTATGGGGGCCTGCCCCCCACACACAGTGAAGCAGGCTCTCAGCCTCATGGCATCCACGGGACAGCACTCATTGGTGGCTTGCCCATGCCATATCCGAACCTCGCCCCTGATGTGGACTTGACTCCCGTCGTGCCGTCAGCAGTGAACATGAACCCTGCACCAAACCCTGCAGTCTATAATCCTGAAGCTGTAAATGAACCCAAGAAGAAGAAATATGCAAAAGAGGCTTGGCCGGGCAAGAAGCCCACACCTTCCTTACTGATTTGATATTTTTGGTGATGGTGAAGGGTGGGGTTGGGTGGGAATGGGGTGGAAGGGAGACGAGGGAGCTAATGAACTAGGGAGAAAAACTTTCCGTGTGTGCAGTATCGTCCTTCAGAATGTCTCCTAACCATGGGGTCCTAACCATGTAATACTAAAACTGGGGGTAGGGTTGAAATATCCCATACAGACCTGTCTTCAGAACACTTTCGATATAGAAAATGATTCATATATGACTTTTGAATAGACTGCCCTGGCTCTTTCCCAGACCTTCCATTACCTCCTTTTTCCTTTCTCCCGCTTTCTAGGATCATTTTTATTTAAAGTCACATATCCCTGGGGAGAGGCTTCAGGCCCTCAGATTGAATCTGGAGCTGTGGGGGTTACAATAGCATCACCAGGCTTGTGGGTCCAGCAGCCTAATTTACATTTACTATTCTTGCAAGTCCCAGGTAGTAAAAGATTGCCACAGATCTCAGGTTGATCAAAAAGAGGGTTTAGAATTCTTCAGTTAAGCTAACTCAAAATGCTTTCCTGAAGTGAGTGGTTTTGAGGTCCAGTAGTTAGGCTTTTCTCTTTTGTCCTTTCTGTTGGAATGAGAGCATTTTGATTTTTCTTTGTAACCAGTGCCATAGACACAGGTTGATAGTTTTAAACTTGTAGTATTGTTTGAACTTTACCTGTTTTTCTTGTTAAACCCAAGCACTCCCATTTGCTGAAGTTTCTCATCTGATTTCAGAGTACTGTCCTCTACTTTAAGGCATTGCTTTCCTTTCCAAGTGTGTTATGAAGGCAGTTTTTTTAAGGATATGACCAGTTAGGGCAATTCAGATTAAAAAGGAAAAGATTTCACTTCGCAAGTAACTGATGTCTCTAGGAGGACTGTTTTAGATCATGGTTTGGAGGCTCTTTTCCCCCCTCGATGGAGAGCTCTCGTTATTCAGAGCTCCAGGGCTAGACCTGGCTAACAAACATAGGAGACAAAGGTAGGAAACATTGATAGGAGCTTTGTACAGAGATTTGTACATTTGTGTAATAGGCCTTTTCACGCTTTATGTGTAGCTTTTTACCTGTAACCTTTATTACGTTGTAAATTAAATGTAACTTTTATCATTTAAGTGTAGTGTAGTCTGTGATTCATTCGCCATCAGTTTCTACTGCTGTTAGGGAATGTTTGTCAAAGGCACAGCCATTGGCTTGGGAGGTGATGCTGTGTCCCCATTTTATTACCACAAATAAAGATGGCCCCTGATAATGTGGAAATTCTGATTAGAGATTTCAGTCCCCAGACTGAAGCCTCACAAAGCAAAGTGGGTTAAGTGCCTGCTGCCCTTCAGCAGGAAAGAGCACAGCAAACCTGACAAGGGGAGACTGCTCTTTGGGGATTTGTCCTGGGTTGGGCACAGTTTAAGCCAGACTACCCACTCTCTGGTTCTCTTATAGATAGCCAAATGCGTTTGACCCGTAGCTCAGGTGGCACAGTAGAAAAAGGAAGCTAAATTGAGGAAGTTTCAGAGGGATTTCAGAAAGGGTTTGGGTTAAATGGATGTATCTTGTATGCTGGCATCTCATACGCAGTAAGTGCACTTTTTGTGGGGTAAGACGTGGCTTTCTGATGAAGATGTCATGTGGGTTCCAAATCCCTTGGATTAAGATTGTGGACTTGTAGCAGGAGCAGCCTTCTAAAGGACAGAGAGCCATTAAATCATAGCTGTACAAGAAGTTGACTTGTGAGCTGTTGTGAAAATAAGTGTCCTCATCTTAGAAAATGAGGGTAATATCTTCCTTGCATTGTGAAAATTACTGTTAGTGGTGGCTGGTGGTCACTCTGAAAACTACCTACCATGCTAAGCATTTACAGCATGTCATTTAGTTCTCATAATCCTAAGAGCTTTGTTTTTATCCCCATTTTACAGATGAGGAAACTGAGGCTCCAAGTCAAACAGAATTCCCTGTGAACACACTGTAGGGAAGTCAGGATTGAAACTCGGGTCTGATTCCAGACCCTGAGCATAGGCTTACAAAGCTTCTGTGATGACTTAAGGGGAGGGGTGTCCTTGGCCCTGTGGGTGGTAGAGTGCTCAGTAGGCTGTAGCTGTAGCTATGTCTTCTAGGTATTTATTTTGAAGGGTTTTTATTTTTGTTTCCAAACTAGACAACCTGTTGGAAGGCATATTAAAGAGTTCAGATGTAGTTTAGAAAATCTCTCCTTCCTGGCGAGAGGGGTTTATACCATGCATTATTTGGTTTCAGAATTCGAGTTGCAAAGTGAAACTTGCATTGGCATCTCAAAGAAGACCCAACAAAGGTCTCCAAGCCTATAAGGATATTTCTTTTCCTTCAGGGGTGCTGTTGACTTTTGCAGAAGGAGGACTAGCTGCATTTGGTGGAAACCTGGATTACCAGGCAGCATGTTTCTTTTTTCTTGTATTCTTTAAGTGAAAGTTTACAGTTCAAGTTAGTTTCTCATACAAAATTTTATACACACATTGTTATGTGACCCTAGTTGCTCTCACTATACTGTGACAACAAACCCCTCCTTCCCACCCCGGATTTCCCATGTCCATTCAACCAGCTTCTGTCCCTTTCTGCTTTCTCATCTCACCTCCAGGCAGGAGCTGCCCATTTAGTCTCATGTATCAACTTGAGCTAAGAAGCACACTCTTCACGAGTATCATTTTATGTCCCATAGTCCAGTCTAATCTTTGTCTGAAGAGTTGGCTTTGGGAATGGTTTTAGTTTTGGGCTAACAGAGAGTCTAGGGGCCATGTCTTCTGGGGTCGCTCCAGTCTCAAACCATTAAGTCTGGTCTTTTTACTAGAATTTGAGTTCACCCCACTTTTCTCCTGCTCCATCAGGGACTCTGTTGTGTTCCCTGTTGGGGCAGTCATTGGTGGTAGCCGGGCACCATCTAGTTCTGGTCTCAGGTTGATGGAATTTCTGGTTTATGTGGCCCTTTCTGTCTCTTGGGCTAATATTTTCCTTGTGTCTTTGGGGTTCTTCATTCTCCTTTGCTCCAGGTGGGTTGGGTGGCACCATGTTTCTGATTTCACCCGGTCATGTTACAGTGCTCCTCAGAGATGAGTACACCGGGAATGGACTCACTTGCCTCTTGCCCTTGATCCATCAATGGATGATGACCATAGATTAAACCCCCTCCTGCTCACGACCAGATTGGCAAGTGGTCTCTATTGCTCATGTGAGCATGATGCAGCCCAGGGGCACAGTTGCCCCCAATCCTGGAACACAGGCCCGTTCTGCATGAGAAGCAACTGTTGGTTCCCCGAGTCCTGTGCACACAAATGATCCATCTGCTAAGGAGGGAAGGTACGACCCATGTTCCCCTCCCCAGGGCAGGAGAGGGTGTGAACCCTTAGAAGATGGCACCTATTGGCAGAAACCAGCCCTTTTCCCAGGTGACCCCATCTCAGGATCAGTTGTTTGAGGACCGCTTGCCTGAAATATGTTCACTATTCTGTTCAAATCATAGAATTTTAGACAGAAGGGACTTAGAAGATCCTGTCAAGTTCCCTCCCTCATTTTGCTTCTGAGCGAATATGACAGAAGGGACTCACTTCACTCAACTAATGTGCACTACCCCTGCCTACCAGAGGCTCACCTGTTAGAGGGAACAGACACCTGCGACACTTTAATCGAGGGATGTAGAGTACAAGGACAGCAGAGAGGAATAAGCCCCTGACCGAGACGTAGGCAGGAATTTGCTACATGGAAGAGTGTGGGCCAAGGATCCCCAGGTAGAGGGGACCACCATGAAAGGCATGAATATGGGGTGGGGGCAGCGGGTTGGGGGTGGGAGTCAGAAAAGGAGAGGCAAGATCCCAAAGGGCCCTGTAAGCCATGCTAGGGAATGTGAAAGTACCAGGAAGCCACTGAAGGCCTGTTTTCTTTGCTTAAAAAAACAGAAAAGACACGCTCATGTAAAAAACTTCAAAAATACACACACACACACACCTTTCCCACCCGGAGATTTCCTGGGGGAGATTCAGGCAGGGATAGTGACTGGGCAGACTCAGATTATAGAAAATCACTTTGGCAGCAGACAAATAAGATAGTCCCTGACCTAAGTGAGTCCCCTCCAAGCAGGAGACCTTTTTCACAGTTTAGGATAAGTCTAAATGTTGACAGAATATGGAAGAGATAATTCCTCATCAGTTGTCTGTGGGAGAGGAGGGAGACTAACAGGAGAAGGTCCTGGAAGGCTTCAAAGAGGGGTGACTTTTGATATCTTCAAGTGGTGGAGGGGAGGGCACTCCCAGCAGGGGGAGCTGCAGGAACACAGGTGGGGTGGGGTCATTTAAGGTGTCCACTGTAGCTTGTGACAGAGTGATGGGTGACCGGGCCTTCTGCGAATGCTCTGGAATGGTCACTTACTTAGTCTGGATCTTATCTGTTGTGGGAGAATAAAATTTGCCTATTCAGTTAAGGAATTGGAATCTGAGGCTTCCACCTCAGAACTGAGGTAGGATGCAGTTCTAGAGGCAGCCAGCAGACGGGGCCCTGCTCTTATCCTTGGAGCCACTGTGGTAACCAGTGTAGACTCCAGGGCTGTGGGGCAGGAAATGGGGAGTGGGGGAAGGACAGTGTTGGGCAGAGAGGAGGTTGGTAGTGTCCCTATTTAACAGATGATAAACTTGAGGTTCAGAGAGTACATGGCCCAAGGTCTATAGCTGGCAAGCTGTGAAGCAGGGATTCAAACCTGCCCTGGTGCTCTGGACTGTGAGTAGCACAGGGGAGCCTCCAACTCAGGCTGCTTCGAGCCTCTGAATTTTGGTCCGTTTACATTTTTTCTCCCTCTCAATTTCCCACCACTTCTCTCTCCATCTCTGGTCCCCTTTGGGGTGTGTGGGGTTCCAGGTAGTAAGTCTCCACACCAAGGCTGGGTTGGGGCCTGAAGCTCTTTGCAGACACCTTTGCACCTGTGGCCCGGGAGGTTACTCACAGGAAGTGCAAGTGAGGTATGGAAGGAGGTCATCCGAAGAGAACCTCCAATGCTCCCGTGAACAGTCTCCTGCCTGCCTTGCCCTTCTCCCACCCCTCCCCATTATTATGGGTCTGTGGATGAACTGTCCCCGCTCCACTCTAGCCATGCCACCACCAGGGCATGAGATCCTCTTTCCTCTCCTGCTCAGAGACGTCACACCTGAAGTCATACCTTCTTCTGCCAAGAACATCAATACCTCTCTCTCTGCTGGATCATTCCCAGCAGCATTCAAGATTGCCATTATTGCTACCTTAGCTCCTCCCATTCCCCCACCCTCATTTCTTTGCTCCATGTTGAAGCAAAATGCCTGGAGAGAAATGTCTCAACTTGCTGTCTCTAGTTCCTCACCTCCATTAACTCTCAAATCTGTTCTGATCAGACTTTCATCCCTAACACTTCATCGAAGTTGTGCCTGTTAATACATCAGTTGATCATGTTCACTGCTGTGCTCAGAATCCTCCAAAGGCCCTCATTTCCTTTAGAGTAAGGGTCAGTCTTTGCGGTGATCCTCAAGTCTTGCCTGCTCTGCACTCCCTTCCATTACCTCTCTGCCCTCCATTACTTCTCTTCCCCCTTGCTGCAGCCACCCAGGGTCCTGGCTGGTCTTTTAATGCTCTAGCCCTGCCCTGTGCCTGGAACTCTTCCTGCAGATGTTTGCCTGGCTGCTTCCCCAACCTCTTTCAAGCTGAGAAAGAAAAAAGCAATCCCTGACCTCCAGGAGCTGACCTGGCACTCATAGCTGGGCCTTGGTGTTCTTGGGTTGAACAATTTCACAGAACATCAACATCAGACAAGGCTACTCTGTGACAGTGACGGATCAAAATGTAAACAAGGCACTCTATAGTCATGCCTAAACACAGACAAAACATAAACATTGTCCAAACCACAAAAGTGACCAACCATACCTGTAGTGGGTTGAATTGTGGCTCCCAAACAATATGTCAACCTCGACCCTCAGACTGTGACTTTATTTGGAATAAGGGTCTTGGCAGATGTGATTAAGGTAAGGATCTTGAGATGAGATTATCCTAGACTAGGGTGGGTCCTACATCCAATGACGAGTGTTCTTACAAGAGACAGAAATGGAGAAGACAGGGGAGAAGCCACGTGAAGACAGAGACAAAGATTGGAAAGATGCATCTATTAGCCAAGGAACTCCAGGGATTGCCCAAAGTCACCAGAAGCCAGCAGAGAGGCATGGAATGAATTCTTCCTCAGAGTCTCCAGAAGGAACCAATCCTGCCAACACCTTGATTGTGAGACACCGAAACTGAAAGAATAAATTTCTGTTGTAAGCCACCAAGTTTGCGGTAATTTGTTACAGCAGACCTAGAAACTTACACAATCCCCTCTCCTGGCTAATATGAGAGCTTGTTTCTTCTTATAATACATAGCTTTAGCCTCTGCCTAGTCTGCCCTCATTTAGATAAAATTTATTAATATACCCCAGTCTCAGAATTACCTCTGTCTCCTGACAGCCTCCAATCCACAGCAAAGCCCTGCTTCCTTAATCCCTCCCCCAAAGCACCTAACCCAAGCCCAAATCCTATAATAAGTCCTTTCTAATACCCTCTTACTGAGCCACCCTGTGGTTCCCCCATGGTAGTTGTTCTCCCTGGCTGCAGTGAGTCATAAACCCGATTTGTTCAACTACAGGTGTGTTCCTGGTGATCTTTGGCTGGAACAAAGTCTTCCCTCAAAGGCTACCATCTCAGCGAGGCCAACCCTGACCACCCCATTTAAAACTGCGGCCACCCCACCCCTTCTGCCTGATCCCCCTTCCCTTGCACCATTTCCCCAGAGCGGTATCACGTGTTATAATTTGCTAATTT